GAGTATGGATAACAAAGGCGAGGTGAGTATGGATAACAAAGGCGAGGTGAGTATGGATAACAAAGGCGAGGTGAGTATGGATAACAAACGCACTCCGGTCCGTTGCTCAGCTCATCGTCCCACGACGCCTTTTGCAAACACGCAAACGCAAGTCTTGAGTCATCTCCCTGTATGATTATCGCGGCTGGAGAGATGCCTGGGCACCTCTTGGTGCGGGGACGTGTGCACGCATGCAGGCATCGACGCAGGTCTGAAAACGCTACGTTGAGCTCGTCTCCGCTTGACGTTGGCAGGATCGTGCAGGCGCACGGGACGGAATGCATCTCGGAGGTCGAGCGCTAGGCGTACCAGCCGTGGGCGCGGATGCGTGCTCTCTCTCCGAGAAACACGGGTGGGGTGCTGCGACTTGGCGCTTGGTGAAAGGCTGATGGGTATCTCGGGCTGAATTCTACGTACACACTCATACATACATACACATACATACATATACAATCGACGTAATCCACACAGCACAGCAATCCACACAACAGACCGCCTCCATGCCCCCCCAGAAAAACACCAAACTCCAAACCCCAAAACACCACCAATGCATCTAATCTAACCTCTCCTCTCCAGCCGTCCCCACGCCCAAAACAATCACATTTGCACCACTTTCACCTTGCGTCCGCGCGTCTCGCCATCCTTCCTCGCGCGGCCACTGCGCGTCGAGCTCCCCGGCCTCTCCGCCCGCCAGAGCGCCAGCCGCCAGTACATGGGCTCGACATGACCGCCCCAGAGGACGGCGTCGAGCCCCGCGCCCTGGCGCTGATACGCGTGGATCGCGCGCGTGGCCGTGATGGTGGCGAGCTGCGGGTCCGGGCGGTAAAAATCGCGGTCGGCGCCGCGCAGGGCGGGCTCGAGTCAGGAGAAGAAGTACTTTGACTCGCGGAGGCGGGCGACGTTCCAGTCGCCCTTTTGTGGCACGGGCGGGAAGGTGAGCGGGAGCCAGACCTGGACGGTGGACATTTCGCTGAGCCACTTGCCCTTGCGCTCTTTCGAGGGGGTGGCGAATTCGGTCGGGTCTTCTGTCGCGGGCGCTGTCGCGGGCGCTGCCGCGGCTGAGGGGTCTTGGGCATTCATGACGGCGGCCTCGAGCGCTCTGTTCTTCTGCATGATCTCGTCGGCCTTGGTTGGCGCGTCGTCGTTGGACTTGGCCTTTGTGTCGCCAAGGAGCGAGAGGCGGTACGAGGCGAGCGTCTTTGGGTCCTTGTACTTGAGCCAGATGCTGGTCGGCGTCACCATGGCCTCGCCCTTTGCGCGGAGCTCCGGGTCGTCGCTCTTGAGCAGCTCCTGTCGCTGGGCTTCCAGCGCGACCTCGTCAAACGAGGCCATGGCGTACCGTCCGCCAATGCCCATGCTGCCGTCGGCCCTTTTGGTCTTGTTGGCGTGGCGCCATTGCTGAATCTCCCTGCCGGCGGGTGTGGCGTGGTGGACGTTGGCGCGGTACATGTTGTCGGCGTAGCGGGCGCTGAACTCGGCGGCGAGGCGCTTGGTGATGTCCTCCGAGTGCATGCGGACGAAAGCGTCGCGGAGAATGACGTTGAGGTTCGGAATATCGCAGGCGTGCGTCCAGAAGCTGTCGTGCACGGCGGCAAAGTCCAGGCCCATCTCGTTGCACTTGAGCGCGGACAGCAGCATGTGCGAGGCGTCGAGGGAGTGGATAAAGTTTGGTGGAAAGGCCTGCAGCTGCTTTCGCTTGTCGACGACGTCGCCCGCAGTACGCTTCTGGACGGTGATGTCCTGCAGCGGGGTGGTGATGGTGGTCATGGTGTCCTTGCGGTACGGCTGCACAATGGGCATCTTGAGCGGCGTGGTCCAGATGATGCCGGTCTTGAAGTTCTCGGCAGCCTTGGCCAGTGCCTTTGCGCTCGATTTGGAAATCTTGTCTGCCCGGTACTTTTTCAAAACGGTCGGCTTCTTGCCCTCGAAAGCCCTCTGGATCTGCTCGACCTGGTCGGCGGTGATGGAGGTGGTGATGCGGTCGCCGCACTCTCCAAGCCAGTACTGAATCTCCTGCGCGCCGTTGAAGATCTTGCCGAGCGCCTCGAAGATCTTGTAGGCGACGTACATGGCAACGGCGCTCAGGGAGCGCACCTCCTTGGTCTCCTTGAAGGCCGGGAACATGTGCTTCAGCTCGTCGTGGACCTGCTGCTTGGCGCCCATGAAGGTGACACCGTAGACGTTGGTCATGACGGTGCGCTTGACGACCTTTCTCGAGATGTGGCCTCGGATGAACTTGGCAGCGGCGACGCCCTGCTCGGCCTCGACCTCGACCATGTCCTTGACGAGCTCTGCGACGCCGGTGTAAATGTCCTGTGGACGGTCAGACGGCTCGAGGTTGACCTGACGCGCACCGGCCTGGTCGCCGCCCAGGGCGGCGTAGTGCTGGAGGCCGTTGCAGGTGCCGTCCTGGTGCACGGGCAGCTGTGAGACGTGGCGCGTGGGGTCGGGCAGGTCGTAGGCTTGCTTCAGCTCCATGCAGCACGCGAGACACTGCCACGGGTCCTCGGCCTTGGCCCACCACCGTCTGCCGCCGAGCGGGTTGGTGGCCGAGTCGACAATCTCGTTCATGTTGTCCATGACAAACTGCTCGCGGTCCCGGAGGCTGGCCTTGTCGAAGCCGGCGAGGTTGGCGAGGTGCACCTTGATCCACTGCAGGCCAACGGAGCCTAGCTCCTTGCCGTTTGCAAACTTGAGCAGCCCTCTCGCAACGTCGGATCCAATGTGGTTGAGGATGGATGGGATCGGGTACGCGCGGCCGCGGAAGTCGACGCTGTGGGGAAAGTACAGCTCCTTCTCGCTAGCCATGGCGCTCGCAATCTCGAGCTGGAAGTTCTGGAAGCAGCGCTGCGAGTGCAGGCCGCTCTTGTAGTTGTCGTAGTCCTTGAGCTTCTTGCCCCACGCGCTCCTCGTCAGATAGTCGGCATCAGCAGGGGGCTCCGCGGGACGCTCCAGGTCGACCTTTTCTGGAACGATGCCAGCAAGCGCTTCGCCCGAGTTCCACACCTCGGCCATGACGTCGAGGACGGGCTGGTTGATCTGCCAGGGGACCTTGCCCAGCACGTCCAGGCCGGCGAGGACCTGTTTCATGTCCCCGTTCTCAATGGCAATCGAGGCGTAGGCCTTTTGAGACTGGTCGCCGGCCTTCTGGCGCACGACCTTGGAGGCCAGGGTGTAGTAGCCGCCGTTGTCGAAACCGGACCAGGGCTTTGGCGGGACGACCATGGGCAGGCGGACGCTCACAATGTTGTGGACTGGCTCGTTGCGGAGCTTGGTCATGATGTCGTGATGCGCGACAATCCAGCCGATGCGCTTGCCCTGGTGCAGCACCATCTGGTGGTGGAACGCGGCCTGGGTGCTCGTCAGCTGCTCACCGGTCTTGGGGTCCTCGGCGGTGACGGTGATGCGCGCGGCCTGCAGGACGTTCTCGAGGCACAGCGCGCCAATCTTGACGCGGGCAGTCATGGGGATCTGCGTCTTCTCAAAGGGCACCTCGGCAATCTTGCTGGCCGTGTGCCTGGGCCTTTGCGTGTCCGCGGACGTGCCGCCAGGCCTTTGCGTGTCCGTGGACGTGCCGCCAGGCCGTTGCGTGCCCGCGGCCGTGTCCCTCCCCTTGGCCAGCTTCTCGACGAGCTCCCTGCGGGCATTCCGGCGCTGGGTCTTGAGGAACTTTTCGTGGCGGGCTTGGGCGTCGAGGTTGATGTGCTCCATGACGTCGTTGCCAATGGCGACGGACAGGGCGGACAGCTTCATGTTGTCGCTGTCTGTGCCCGTCTTCTGGACGCAGGCGTGGATGACGCGGGTAATGGCGTTCGCGGCGAGTCGCTCGGGCTCGCACTTGTTCAGCCAGGCGCCGTACGAGTTGGCGTCGTCGTTTGCGTTTTCCTTGGTGGGGTTGGACATGACGTGCTGGGCGTGGGCAATCTGCTTCTGGAACATGGGGATCAGCGCCGTGTACCAGTTGTACATGAGCGCCTGCAGGCTCTTGGTCTTGAGAACGCCGTGGATGCCCATCTCGGTGAGCTTCTCGTCCTCGTGGCGCCAGCGCTGGATGGCGGCGTCCATGCCGTCCTTTTCCATGCGCAGCTGGCGCGCGTAGTTGTACGCGCGGTCCTTCTCGGCCGGGGTGCCCTCCATGTCGTGGGGGTAGGGCAGGGCGTCGTTGAAGAGGCGCAGGGCCTCCTTGAGGGTGGCCAGGCCGTAGCCCTTTTGCTCGACCGGCTTGATGTTGGCGGCGTGCAGCGGCAGGCCCTGGTCCAGGACGGTGTGGAGCGAGGCCGGGGTCTGGAACTGCAGGCGGTGCAGCTCGTGGGCGGGCGGCGGCTCGTCAAACGAGTCGGGCTGCAGGCGGATGAGCGTGTTCCACTCGTCGTCGGACAGGTCGGGCGACGTGTTGACCTGCTCGAGCACGTCCGGGCCGGCGGCGTTGGCGCGGTCGAGGTACTCGCGGATGGCGGCGTCCTGGCGCGGGCCCTGGAGGAAGGTGCAGGCGGCGCGCAGCAGGGTGACAAAGGTAGCGGCGTTGGAGGGGACGAGCTTGGCGACCATGTTCTTGTGGTACCAGTCCTCGAGCACGTGCATGGCGTCGGACGAGCCGTCGGGCGAGCCGTCGGGCGAGCCGTCTTCCTGGGCGCGCTCGAGCAGCGTCTGCAGGAACATGTTGTGGGCGTCGGTCATCTCGGGCGCCGCGGGGGTGTAGATCATGGCGAGGCGCTTGAGGATCATGGCGGCACGGTCGGTGCGCCCGACGCGCAGGCAGGCGTACAGGTTCTGGTGCATCTCGACGGGGTCGCCGCTGATGCCGGAGCCGATGCTGCGCGTCGAGGGCGCGCTGTGCGTGAACTGGTCGTGGACGACGAGCGGGCTGGCCGCGTCCCAGGAGCCGAGCTGCGAGAGCGCGGGCGCGGGCACGCGGGGGCCCCAGGCCTGCATGAAGCCGTCGAAGCGCGCCGCCGGCGGGTCGGGGTGCAGCTCGGCGGCCGTGGCGAGCGACCGCGACGACGGCGACGACAGCGACGACGGCGACGACAGCGACGGCCGCCGCGCGCGTCGCGCGTCGTGTGCGGCGGTTGGTGTGCTTGGTGTGCTTGATGCGTATGTCTTCGCCCTCGACTGCGCCGCCAGCTGTGTGGGCGCGCGGAACGCATCTCTGCGCAGTCGCCGCGTCGCTGCTCGCGCGAGCATCATGGCGGCCGTCGGGGGGTGGAGTGGCAGAACAGGTAGAACAAGCAGAACAAGTAGAACAAGCAGAACAGGTAGAACAAGTAGAACAAGTAGAACAGGTAGAACAGGTAGAACAAGCAGAACAAGCAGAACAAGCAGAACAGGCAGAACACCACAATGCAACGAGAAATGGCCGCAATGCAGCGAGGTGGAAGGGAAGCCGCTCGGGATTGTCGTGCGGGAGGCACTCGGCGTTGTCGTCTCAAAGTTTCGAGGCAAAAGTTCGAGTGCATCATCCCAGGGACCTGCATGGCGCTAGGTGCACGGGCCAGCACAGACTCGTGGAAACGCTCCCGGACACTTGCTGCGTAGAGTCTTGTGCTCTCCATGTCCGCGAGTCCGAGGCGTTGCCGTCCAGGCGGCGAGCGATTGGGTGCGCGCCGACATGTTTGGGCACTGCGCACTTGCAGGCCGGCCATTCGCGAGTCACTTGAACGTGCCAAGCGTTCAATGTCCTATCCAGCAGCCAATGTCATATCCAGCAGCCAATGACAACGGCAGCGGCAGCCACTCCCGCCCGCCACGGTTCCGCCAGGATGCCTCGCACGTCGACCGCCCACCGTCACCACAACCACCGACGGGCATGCGCGCATGATAGTCAACGCCAAGAACAGCCTGCTGCTGCAGGGCGGCGTGGTCAGGGCGAGCATGCTGGGCCGCTCGACGTATGCGACGCGGACGCCGGGGGACGAGGAGCTGGGCAAGAAGGACGACGATTTCAAGTTTGGGGCGGCAAAGAAGGACGACAATCTCAAGTTCAAGGCGGCGCGGCGACACGGCAGCCTCTCGTCGTTTGGCTGGCGATGGCGGCGGAGGCGGGTGCTGCTTGTCGTCCTGGCATTCGTCCTGTTGTCGCTGACGATGCACCTGATGTGCGCGCCGTCGACCGGCGACAAGCGCAGCATCCACGCCTTCACGTACACGCCGCCCGGCCGAGACGCCCGCCACGACGCCCACCACGACGCCCGCCACGACGCCCGCCACGACGATACATTCAAAGAACCCGTTGGCGCGCCGCCGGGCATGCGCGCCCCGCGCCGCGGAGAGCCCACGCCGCACACGTACGACGGCGCATACAAGTTCTACCGGCTGGCGCGCTCGCTGCGCGCCGCGGCGCACACGGACGGCGCCCGCAAGACGAACCGCAACGTGCTGTTCGCCGTGTCGAGCCTGCAGAGCGCGGCGACGCTGCTGCCGCTCGTCTGCGACATGGCCAGCCGGGACCGGAACTGGGTGCACGTCGCCTTGCTGGGGCGCGACGACATGTCGCTCGATGACTTGCTGGCCATCAACGGCGTCGACCGCAAGGCGTGTCCCGCCCTCTGGCACGACGCCCGGCCCGACTACGCAGACTACAGCAGCGACGCGCGCGCCGAGGCGAGCGTGCAGTCGGCGCTCACCCACGTCCACAGCTTCCTGCACCCGCAGGCTGCCATTGTCGACGATGCCCTGAGCGAGGATGCCTTTTTCGCTGCCGCCGTGCGCAACGCGACCGCCGCGCTCGACGTGCCGCTCATCGAGGTGCCCCGGGGCCAGTGCGACGACTTGATGTGGCTCGCCCGCCTCGACGCCGCCGCGCTGCGCAGCTGGCACCTCCCCACCGTCGACATCGTCGTGCAGGTCCCGCCCGACTCGTCGAGCGTGCTGCATCTGCTCGCGTCGCTCGCCCACGCCGACTACGCCCGTCTCCCCCCACCGCGCATCACCCTCGAGCTGCCGCCCGCGCTCGACCCCAAGGTGCAGCGCGCCCTGGCCTCGTTCGCCTGGCCGCCGCACGCCCACTCGCGCAGCCAGCTCGTGCTCCGCCGCCGCGTCCGCACCCGTCGCGCCACGCAGGAAGACGCCGCCGTCCGCTTCCTCGAGCTCTTCTACCCGCCCGACGCCCACGCCCACGTCCTGCTGCTCGCCCCGCACGCCCAGCTCGCGCCCGCCTACTTTCACTACCTCCGCTACCTGCTGCTCGAGTACCGCTACTCGTCCACCCGCCCCGCCGCCGCCGCCGCCATGATGGGCCTCAGCCTCGACCGCCCGCCCGTGCTCGTCGACGGCACCACGCCGCTGCTCCCCGCCGAGCCGAGCGCGCCGTTCCTGATGCAGGCGCCCGCCGCCCACGCGACGCTGTTCTTCGCCGACAAGTGGGCAGAGTGGCACGATTTCCTCACGCACCGGGTCAGCGCGCCGCACACGGCCAAGGGCGCGCGCACGCTCAAGCTCGTCTCCGAGACGCTGCCGAGCTGGGCCGAGTACATGCTCGAGCTCATGCGCGCGAGGGGGTACTTTTTGCTGTACCCCGCGACGCGGGGTCTGGTCACCGTGCACAGCGAGCTGTACCGCGCGCCCGAGGAGTTTTCGACCGGCTTCACCTCGGACACTTTCGACACGCCTTTCGACCCCGACGCGCCTTTCGACCCCGACGCGCACTTTGTCCGCGCCCCCTCGCCCCCGCCCCCTCGGCACAAGACCCGCGAACCCCCTCTTCTCGCTCGCAAACCACTCCACGCCCTCCTCCCCTTTGCCGCCGACCTGCCCGCGCCCCGCCACCTGCCGCACCTGCCGCACCTGCTGTACAACGGCGTGACGCTGGATCCGAGCAGCGTCGCCGTCGTCGCGGGCAAGTACCGCAAGGAATTCAGCGAGGGCGTCGGGGGGTGCGTGGTTCCTGCGGGGAAGAGGAGGACCGTCGTCGGCGGGCGGGCGGGGGATTTGTTTTGTTTTGGGGACGGGGGGTGGGAGGATGTACACCCTGCAGGTTCAGTGAGCGATGCAATATGATTTTGTTTCAACTTTTGCTCTGCGCTGATATGTCTCGTCGCCTACTACTTGCACTGTATGTCTCGTCGCCTACTACTTGCACTGTATGTCTCGTCGCCTGCTACTTGCACTGTATGTCTCGTCGCCTGCTACTTCCACTGTATGTCTCGTCTGCTACTCCTACATGTCTCGTCTGCTACTCCTACCATGTCTCGTCTCGTCTACTACTCCGACTCCCACATGTCCCGTCTGCTACTCGGCCTTCTCCGCCAGCCTCGCATCCGCCTCCTCCAGCGCCTTCCCCAGCACCGCCTCGTTCCTCGGCACAAACTTGACGCGGTACGGTCTGCACATGGCAACCAAGCTGGTCGGGTCCGCGCTGCCGGAAACCGGGTGCGCGTCGACGCTCGAATCGGACTGAACCTCAAAGCTGCCCAGCATCCGTAAGAAGACAAGATACAGCTCGCGGTTCGCCAGCAGCGAGCCAGCGCACATCCTGTATCCCAGCCCGTACGTGAAGAGCGGCGCATCGGGTTGCGACAGCCAGCGCTCGGGCCGGAACACGAGCGGGTCCGTCCACACCTCGGGGTCCATGTTGCACGCCCACGCGTTGAGGTAGATTGTGCTTCCCGCGGGGATGAGCTTGCCGTCGTACACAACATCCTTGACCGTTGCGCGCGGCAGCGCGAGTCGCAGCACCGTGTAGTACCGCAGACACTCGCGGACAAGCGCGACAATGTACGCGCACTTCTGGTCGTCTTGCGCGTCCGCCAGCGGCTCGTCGGCCGTGTAGAGCTTGCGTATCTCCGCGAGCGCCGTCTGCTGGATGTCTGGTCGCTGCGCGAGGAGCGCTACGCTCCACTGCACCAGCGTCGTGATGGTGTCGAGGCCGCCTGATAGCATCGTCAGGCTGATGCTCGTCAGCTCCTCCTTGGACAGCGCGGCTTCCTTGTCCTGGATGATGTTGGCTTGGATGCAGGGCTTGTGCGTGCCAGCCGCCATGCGCGCGTCGAGGTCCGCGTTCAGTCTTCCGAGGTACACGTCGCGCCGGCTGCGGTACTGCTTGGCCATCTTGGTGCCGCCGCTGAACGGGTTGAGCCGCAGGATGGGGATGTAGTCTTGCAGATTGCCCGTCGTGGAGCGGAACTTGCTAATCGCCGCTTCCACCTCGGTGATCTCGTGGAACATGGGGTCGCTGCGGCTGCCCATGCGCGTGCCCCAGTTCAGCGTGAGGGAGAGCGAGAGCGACAGCCGCTCAATCAGGGGCATGGGGTCGACGCCAACAGCGCCCGCGCGCCCAGACTCGAACGCGTCCTTGATGAAGTCCTTGGTCTCGAGGTCCAGGTGGTCAATGTACGTAGCAATGCTGGGCTTGTTCAGCGCCGACGCGGCACCCTTCCTGCGCCGCTTCAGGCTGTCGTTGAACGGGCTCGTGCCGATCGTCGTACCCGCCGTGTTGGACAGCACCTTGTGGAACGTCCACAGGACGGGTCGCGAGCTCAGCGCCTGGCTGTTGCCGCCAAAGATCTTGCGCGCCGCCTCGGCGCTGTTGACCACGACCACGGGCTCGTTGCCCAGCTGGATCTGGTACACGGCGCCGTACTGTTTGGACCACTCGCGGTACTTTTCCGCAGCGTTGTACTTGATGTCTGGGATGTTGCCGACCAGCGGCCAGTTCCGTGGCCCGGAGAAGCCCTTCAGCCGCCGTGTGTAGCGGACATACTCGTTTGCGAGCAGGTAGGTCACGGGTATGAGGACCAGAAGGACCAGGCTGGAGCGCAGGGGGTGGTTGGCGAACTGCTCGGAGAGGAGGGGCGTGATTGTGGAGATCATCTTGTCCGTTGCCTGCTGTCGTCCAGCTCTTGACAGGTCAAGTGCAGACGTCCGCCGCCAGCGAGGACACCAGTTCCTTATACTTCAAAGGCCTGCGGAAAGGTGTCCAATTGCAACGACCCACATCTTGCACTGGCCTCTACGGAACCGCAGAACGCTCCTCCCCACCCAGGTGTGCGCATCTGGGCAGCATCGAGGTCACTGCGGGGAAGAGCTGCCCGCGGAATTGATGACGCGTCTGCGGAACAGGGGAGCAAGCGAATGTGGCAGTTGGCTTTTCGCGGCCTCTGATTGGCTGGAGGCGCTCGGAAGACGTAGCATTGCTCTTCCGAGCACGTGCGCGTCGACCTCATCCCTCCACGACGCTCGATCGACTCCCTTTCGAACACACCCATCGTGGTTCGGAACCTCACGGCCTCGAAAGATCTGCGCGGCGACGATGATGACACGTAACAGATGGATTGCGATTGCATGCATATCCCTGGCCTTTTTGCGTATATGTCCTGACGCCGCCCGCCGCACCTGCGCGTTTGAGCGAATTTCTGAGCCGTAGTCCTCTCGGATATGCAGGCGCTGTCGTCAAACACAACACATCTCACCGTGAGAATTTAGTCTACATGTTCACCATCTCTGGCCCGAGGACGAATCGCGGCGCCCGGCTCCGCAAATCCCTGTGCACCACCCCGTCAGCACCGAGCAGCCACTCGGCATTTCCGGAGGGTGTTGCGCGATTCTAGCAAGTGACATCTAACAAGGACACCTCAGACGCAGCTGTATCTTCTAGAATCAAGTCTTTCATGCTTGCTGTCATGCCTTGAGTATGGCGCTTCTAGTTGCACACGTCCATGTCGGCTGCTTGAAGCTGGTAGGGCGCTGTAGAAAAGGGTCCGAATGTCTTCGCCTGTGTCCGTTTAAGAGCTGGGAACCAACGTTGAAGAGACCCACGCAGATATCGGGTAAGCTGCCGTAAAGCCTCTGTTCGTCTACGCTCAAACATGCCTGATTCTGTCCCTGGGCGTCTTGCGAGTTGGCTCAAAGGACTGCCTGACAGGTATATCCCGGAATGCCTGACACGTGCGCGGTATCGGCGCAGCCTGACGTGCCAGGTGAGGGAAGGGCAAATATCACTCAACGTAACTGGACTGCGCGCGTTTGCAACTTCTCAGCCTTTTAGATCTTCGAAACCAACATGCGGTCGAGAAGCTGTGCTGCCGAGCGTATCCTCGACAGCAACGGCAGTGCTCGGGCCTCAAACCGTTCAGAAGACTCGCGATGCAGAACTGACGCTGCCTGATTTGACAGCGCCGCATCACGCCCTCTCGAGACCCAGCCTCGCGGACCTGCAAACGATGCGTGGGTGGACGAACGACGGTACCGCGATATCGCAGTCGCATTTCACAGGCCAGTCACCCCAAGCTGCAGCGCACTGCGAGAGCATCAGCCGTCCAGCGCAACATGACCATCGAGGCTTCCGAGTACGGCAGCCCGGTGGTTTGGGCGCGATGTGTTCGCTGTCTATTTAACACTGTGTATTCACGATATGCTGCAAGACACGACCGCGAGAATCCGCTCTCGTCAACGCTTCTTCACAGGGGTAGCTTGTCACAAGTCTTGAGCCTCGATATTCTCGTACATGTTCATATATCACATTCGCACCTCAAATGCCATACCCTGAAGACCAAGTACATCCATGAAGCACTCAAGGACTTTATACGACGCGCGGTCGCCTCACTTGAACGAATATCAGCCTCAGTACCCTGCCATCACTGCTGTTCAGCAGCACCTTGCGTCGAACAGCCAGACAAGCGAGTACCAGGACTACTTCAGCGATGCTCTAGGTCTCACTCAGGACCTGGATCCCCTGCAGCAGTTCCTCGGCTCCAATGTCGAGCCCTATGATGCACAAGCAAACACGTCGAACCGATACGACTTTGCGAGCAGCAGCACCGATGCTCAAAGAAACGTTTTGCAGGAACAACAAAGCCCGCCTCAACATGGCCAAGGTGTTCGACGTGGCGTCGCGCACTACGCTGAATCGCCTGGACTGATCGGCACAGGTCACAAAGCCAGGAGCGCTGCACACCATTTGCGCGGTGCTGCGGCTTCACCATACAACGCACGCGGTAGATCCGTCCCTGCCACGAGCCAAAGATCCGTCTTCATACCCATGCTCATCCCTCCAGCTGCCACGGCGGAGTCGACAGAAGCTCGCCCGACACCTTACAGTTCTTATCGCGGTCTGTTTGGTGATTCAGATGCGGCAAGAGACCATCGCCACATGAGCACTCGTTTTGGCCGCCAGCCTTATATTTTCCCCGAGGACGATCCTACCATCGGGGAAGTGGAGCGCGATCGCAACATGCACGTTGGGCGCATCTACGATGCCATGGTCTGCGGAGATCGGGCCCAAGATAACCCTGGCTCAATCGCCATGAAGCGCTGGGTCAACGGTGCTCACTACAAGTCCGACCTCGTAGAAGCTTTTGCTCACAAAGTCTTCGACTGCCTGCTCGTGCAGGTCCAGGAAGGCTTCCGCGGCTGGCATCACAACGACTACGTCGACGACGACCGCAAAGGCGAGAAAGAAGACCGCGAAGCTGACTGTGCGAACCGCTTGGAGAACATCATCGATGCGCTCGAGCGGGAAAAGACTGTCTGCGAAGACGTCGTCACTTCCGCCAGTCAGATCCGCATGTTCGTGAATGCTCCGATCGCGTACGCACAGCGCAAGTTCCAGAACCGCCAGGGCAACAGCAAAAGAGGTCGAATAAAAGACACTCCGGACTCCAACCCGCGGCCGACCCAGAGGCGTAGGACTGGCGGACGACAGTTGAATCGAGCGACTGACACTCCTGACCGGCCAGTGTTGAGAGACACCACTCCTCAGTTCCAGACGGCCGCGTCCGGGCTGCCTTACTACGCATCTGCGTCTTCACGGCAACTTCTATCCAGCCCCACGCCTAGCTACCTTACGCCTCGCCAGCCCCTCCCGAGACCGGCCATGTCGATGCCTCATGTGTCTGCTGGCTACCGTCAAGCCACTGCGGCCACTTCACCCATCACAACCCGACCCTGCATACCACCGACCACGACCTCTCTGGCTGCAATGTCACCTCCAAAGGCTCCCGATCCGCGCCCACACAATGCACACGCCACGATGATGCCGCCCGCGCAAATGCTGCCCGCGCACATGTCGCCCGTTTCTTGCACGCCCTCATCACAGCCATACACATACCACTCCGCACCCCCATCACCAAACGACACAAAGTACCCTTCTGCAAGTTCTCCAGCCGACTGGCCGACAGCCGACACACTCGCCACTTCCGCGTGCACCCCCGTCGACCCATTACTGACCGCCGCCGACCTGCTATTCACACCAGACACGTGGTCCGACGAAGCTCCTGCATGCGCCACCGACGGACCAAACGGGCTCAAGCAGCTGCACGTCAGCCTCGCTGACATCGAGCGCGCGCCGCTTGCGACCGCGGCATTTGGAGGCGAGGATCCCGTCCACGTGTTTGAACCGGCGTGGAATGAGATTCCGGGTGTGCAGCGGTTTTCATTCGATGCGGGTACTGGGGAGCTGTATTGAGCGGTGATGCGGGGCTAGTTTCTGTGCTTTGTGCGTTGTTGCGCCGTTTTGGGGTGTTTTTGTTGCTCACCTGGATGGTGTGGCGACGTGCTTCGACGTTGGTGTTGCTGGGTTGTTTTGTTGTCGGACTTTTGCGCGCGTGGTCACTTTCTCCGCTGACTTTGTGGGAGGGAGTGGAGCGTCGGTTGTTTCTTCACTCATGTATGTATTGCTTGCGGTTGGCTTGACGTGGCGTTGCATAGGATGTACTCCACAATGTTTTGCATGTGAATATTAACATGTTTCTATCATGCACCCCGTCTCTATCCTCTCGCATCTCCGTGTCTCCATAACAACCGATGATATGACGCATGGTCGTCAGATCGACGCCTGTTAAGTAATTTGACTAGACGGGCCCTGTCTCAAACGTACGACTCCATGGTTTTAACAATCTTCTCCACGCTTGTGCCTCACAGCACAGTCCACAAGCATTCCGCGCTGCATCTGTGGGACAAGTTCGTGATGGTTTCTGAGCGGGGTTTGGATGGTTCCATTAATCAAAGTCAGTGTTATCTCAGCGACATTTGCATTTGACTGACAAGTATGTCTTAGCCTATCCAAAGGGTTTGCAAGTATCCCCTACTGTTTGACAATCTCTGCCGCCAGATACCGGTTTGCGATGATCCTGAGGCTCACGCTGAGTTGGAGAAAGCCCTGTTCTAATTACAGGAAACGATTCGCAAAGTTAACAAAGCCAAAGACGACCCGAAGACCGTCGACTGATTGAGACTACCTGGAAAGGGTCTTGGCGAACAAGTCTCCTGTCCGACATTACAGCTTCAGTGCTCGATAGTACAGTGTCCCTATTCATAGATACAACCCTTCCCTCCAGAGCATGATTCACTCATTCAACGATATAGGTTTCTTAGCTGTCACCGTCTGCATCAATCAGCAACGGGCAATTGGTTTAGTGGTATAATTTTCCCTTAGCACTTCGGTTGCCTCTCTAGTAATCGAACCCTGTGAATAAGCTGGGAAAGGTCCTGGGTTCGATTCCCAGATTGTCCATTCTTTTTGCCCTCTCTCTTTCTCTTTTGCTATTCACAGCGTCGTGGTGGGCATGGTGGTAAAATTTTCAAATTTGCGGAGGGAGCGCTCCTCGACCGCCGGCCGCGTTGCCAAGGAAAAGGCCGCCAAGCCCGCGTGGCCAACAGCGGCCAGATACCGCGCCAGCCCGTTCGTCGTGCCGTCTAAGGGCGACGCGCCCTCGCCCGCCGAGCTAAAGAAACACCTCCAGACCATAATGATAGACGTCGACGGCGTGCTGGCTGAGGAGGTCGGCACAAAGGACAAGTAGAAGTTCCGCGCCTTTCACTAGGCCGTAACGGCGCGCCATCGGCCTGTGGTATATTGTAACTGCGTGAGCAGTGTCGGTCGGAGACTGTGATCAACAAGTGTATTGCTATCTGTTGTCGTGTTGTGATGTTGTGTTGTTCAAGCTCTCAGCTCTCAGGTAAGTGCACTTGCCCACCGGGCAGTGCTGCTACAGTGGAATATCATGTGATCTGAGCCACGTGGTTACATACATAAACATAACTATATACAGTAGTGTTCGGTCGCAGTAGAAGACTACTGATTTGGTTTGGAACTCATCTCTGATCTCCTTCGTTCACCGGTCATATGCAATGAATGCAGCACGGATATGTGCCACTTGACTCTCGGCTTTGGACGGTGGCTGCACACCTCTCTTACAGGAGGTGAGTGCCGCCGTGGTCAGATCGTGCCGCTGCACGTGAGTAGACGCTGACTTTCCACAAAGTAACCTCTTCAACCGGCACCTTCAGCCCGATATCATGCCTGCGTTACTCAAGAAGGGGGTGGTCTCAGCAGCAGAAGATTGTCGAAGGCGCGACGCTGCTGGAGAGGGCGCAGAAGGCGATGGACTTTATACATGCCTACCTATGGAGCGGTTGGTTTGGCGTTGGTAATATTAGCGACATCTCAGCATAAGAGCGGTGAGGTCATCATTTCGTTCAATTTGTTCGGGTATCACGGTTCTTTATTGAAGTGTTTCGGACGGCGCTTGTTGTGGAGACTTTTTAAGAGATAGAAGGTGTCTTGCAGGGGCGGCCCCGCTGACGCCAGCCGCCGGTTTCTCAGCATGTCCGCGGCGGCTCCGCGAGTGCCGACAACACCAAGCGAGATTCGATGACATCCAGAAGTATCGATCCTGTGCGGATTGCAAATACGGGAATCGGCCTCAAAGTACCTCGAATGTGCTTGCGTAAGAATTCATCGTCCAGACATAAAGCGGGCGCTACTTACCACCGTCCAAACTGGCTGTCATACACAGACCGACACATCATCGTCGATTCCAGACTTCGCGATCAGCTTCTCGGCCAACAATATGTTTTTCGCTGCTCAGTAGTCAGGGATGAGCAGGGAGTTGGTGGAAATGCGGACCTGACTAGCCGGAGACTGGCCTAGCTCTCTCGAATGACATGAGACAGCGCAACGCTCTGCGTCGCACACCGTCCTTCATCTCATCAGATAACAAATGCATCCCCATCCCGCTTCAGGCACAAGCAACAGCAAAGCATGTAGTGTGAGGCATGTTGAGCGCTTGCAAGAGGATGTCCTTGTCGATGGAAACATTGTTTATGCAATCTCTCCCGTCTCCCGTCTCTCGCATTGACCCCATCACAGGTGAAACCGCCCACATGCTCGCGACCGTTTCAACCCACGTCTCTGGGCGCTTCGGCCAGGTTAGACGACTCGCCTAAATGTCGCTGACAGGTCAGACATATGCCGAGTGCATGGTGACCAGCGTCGCGGGAACGCCCCTCCTTGGCCTTCGGTCGGAGTCTTCATCCTTCGATCTTAGTCATTTCAGAGCTGTCCTCTTACTGGTGGAGTATCCCGACCAAGCATCGGATGAGGCTCCGCTCCAGGTCTTGACATCCCAGAAGTAGGCATACATCCTGGCGGCTCTGGGCGAGAACACAGGCAAGCGTCGTTCGTGAGGCTGCACTCCATCGGAACTCAGTTTCGAATGTTTAATGAACGGCCCACACTAGGCACGAAAGGGATGATTCGTTTTGAAAGCAGGCGTATATAGGCGTCCGGCACTGCTCCTCTCACTGTTTTGTTCAAACATCAGTTTCTAACTTCCACTTCACCAGCTTCTTTGCTACCCAGGTCTGTGACCTTGACATTCGTTGTTACCACACTCTTTCTCTACACTCTTTCAAAGAAGCTAGCTTCTTGTCACTCTCTCTTACAACTACCTTTCCAACAAACCAATCAACCAGCAGAATGAAGTCCTACTCCGCCGCCATTGCCCTCGCTGGCTTCGCCTCCTCCGTCGCCGCCCACGGCTACATCACTTCGCCCTCCCCTCGTCTCCCTGGTAACGGCCTCAAGGCTGCCTGTGGTGAGCAGGTCTACAACCAGCAGAGCTCCGACCACAATGGCAACGTGCAGGGTTCTATCCAGAACCTCCAGGGCGATCACCCCGACTGCCGCATATGGCAATGCAAGGGCATTCCCTTCAGCGACGCCGGGGAGGTCTTTGAGTACACCGCGGGCCAGGTGGTTCCCATGACCGTCGATATCGCCGCGCCCCACGACGGCGTTGCCAACGTCTCCATCGTCAGCATCAAGACGGACACGGTCATCGGCTCGGCCCTCAAGAGCTGGGACAGCTACGCGCTCACCTCGTCGCCCATCTCCGAGCACCCGGAATGGACAAGCTTCGACCTCACCATGCCCGACGTCAGCGCCGAGTGCGCGAACAAGGGCGACTGCGTCATCCAGTGGTACTGGAACGCCGCATCCATCGACCAGACGTACGAGTCGTGCGTCGACTTCACCATGGGCGCCGGCTCCGGCTCCGGCTCCGGCACAACTCCTGAGTCCAGCGCTCCCGCTGCCTCGTCTGCTGCTGCTACATCCGCCCCTGCTGCCTCGAGCGCCGCTGCTACATCCGCCCCTGCTGCTACGTCCGCTGCCCCTGCTTCATCTGCCGTCCCTACCTCCGCCGCCGCCGAGGCTACACCGCTCCCCAGTTCCACGACCCCTGCCACCCCCTCTGCCACCGGCTCTACCGGCACTGGCTCGTCCACTCTTCCCGAGGAGTTCACTATCGAGCAGTTTATCTCTTGGCTCGAGGCGAACGCTGGCTCCAGCGCTGTGCAGAAGCTGCGCCGCGCGATTGCGGCCCGCACTGCGCGCACCCACGCGCGCGCATTCCGCGGTTAAGCAGTGAGACCTGTGTATAGATAGTCAGAATCGGTTGTTGAATGGCGTGGTGTGATGGTTCTGTTCTCTTGTAGATATAAACTTCAGTCTTGAATATACCTTCCACTACGGTGGGCCTTCTACATTTCATGTCTGCTTGCCTTGACTCTTGGTTCCTCTCGCAAAGAAAATATTCAATAAGTACACATTACCGCCAGTTCTGCAGGAATATCGCGACGCTCAAGCACTCGATTGCATTACCTGCCGCTGTCCCTTCCATCTGTCAACCTTCACACGTAGAATCACCTGGGCAAGACCCAGATGTAGAGTATGGTTTGCTCGTCTCCCCTACTTCAGCATATCAAATACAATCCCATGCGGCCCGCCTTCATTCACGGGATAATTCAGCTCAAACCAGTCCAGTCCGAAGTCGCGATCATCACTTCCTGGATGCAGCAAGAACTGTGCGACCTGACCCTTCGGGCACGGATACACCGCGCCGCCCGAGATACTCGCAGTTCCATTATGTCTCAACGTGACCGTCGCAACGGTGCTGATGGGCTGCGGACGCGAGTTCCAGGTATCCGTGTCTTTGTTGATGGTAGGTGGCAGCGAGGAAATGTTGAAGGTGTACGGTGCTTGGCCCCAGAGCGTCCAGGGTGCGCCTTTGCTGGGGGACGTATTGATGAAGAAGTTTAGTTGACACCATTGCGCATCGTTGGAGGGCATATCAAAGGAGATCTCGGTGTATTGCTGGTAGTGTCAGTGAGGCTAGTGTGCTTGATGGCGTGTGGTCATGTGTGTACCTGCTGGGTGATCTTGCCACGTAGCTGAGTGCCGTAGGCTTTGTCTGGAGCGTCGGCATCGACTGGGATGATGAGGTGGGGAAATTGCCTGTCTACGAGCGCGCCTAGAGACGGCAGGGCGAAGAAGATGGGGAGAAGAGTTAGTCCGTGCATGTTGATATTCTGCTGAGAGTGAAGAAGAAATGCACAGTCAGGCAGTGATCGGGTATTTATATCTCAACAGTGAGGCAGTATCGAGTAAATAACGGACAGCGGTCCAGAGGTGGTCATGACGGTGTGACTGCCCTTGCAGAGGTTCTGGTGCGACTGTGATAGACTCTACATGATGGGAAGCACAAGAAAATTTGAACTGAATCGCGCGCCGCATCCGTTTAGGTCCAGTGGTAATGTTATGGGTACAGCACAGTTTTGTTCATTGCTCTTTGGGCCGCATGAGAAGTCCGGATGGTTGTCCGATTGAGTATGGTCTGTGATACTCATGCCTATTGGATCGAGGAAAGCAATATCTGCGGCACCACTTCGTGCGAAGGCGACTGCAGAGCTGTCAATCACGTGTTGTGCTTGACGGCATCACCGAATTTACCAGTGGAAATACCCAATCGGTCCGACTTCTGGACACCGACGGACGGATAGCTGCACCGTCGATGTAGCATCCGTGGATTGAGGATGGACTGAAGGTATTGGCAGGTGCATGCTCGAGAGCCAGCAATGCTCCGATAAGGGTGACCAGTTGCCGATAGCCGATCAGCGTGACATCGTTACAGGTCGTAGTTACTTGGTCTGATGGTACCACTGTTTGACTACAACTGATGTAATGAAATTTGAGAATCGACTTGCGATGGTGGTACTGATTTCGAGCTTGCTTTGTTCAACGTAGCGCAGAAACGCTCGATTGTACTACACACATGCAGGGTCACAAGACCTGGCGAATCTCGACTTTGACATGTCCAAACGTGAGGTAGATGGCCCTGAGTACGGAAGGGAAGAGCTACACGCCCGGTATCAGACAGCAGAAGCCGTTGATGAGCTCGTGAACTCGATGAATCGCTTAGTCAATGTAACTTGCAGACAGCTTTGGCATTTCTTGAGCTCCGGCAAAGTCGTCGAGGCAAGGCTGATGTGGGGTGAGCCGGTTGATCAATGGAGAAATGAGAAGCAAGACGCGTGTTGCGTCACCCTGCATAGCTTGAACCTTGACAAACACCAGCATTCGTAGTTGTCAGCTATCACCAAACGTTTCCCTATTGCTGTGCAACAAGTATTTCTACTGCGACTTAGACCCGCACTGAAGTCACCCTTGCAGCTCCGCTTCACCCCGCGCGTCGAGGCCTCCACCTTGTGCTGCCATAGCTGTTGGACGACTACACCCGCGCTACCACTTCATCAGCTCCAACGACTCAAAGAAACGGCTGGTAGCGTATGCGAACTTTGGCAATTGCAACCTCTATCCGATACTACGTAAAAGATTGGTGCTGAGAAAGGGAAGGTCAACACGGTTGCGCCGCATTTGGGAGAGGGTGTGTCAAGTGTTAATCGTCTACAGAGCATGGTCACTGAACGGTCGTAGAAACATTTCTGCAATGCCACAACGACTCTGGCATCGTCTCCTCCCTGGCTGCAATCTGCGAAGCAGGCGTACATTGGGCTTCTTGACGTATTACATTGCGAACCTGGACGTCTTCTGTCAAACCCAAAATATCGTCCACCAGGCTTCGACCCGACGCCTGAAGAACTCGTCAAGTGGTATATGAAACCACAAGAAGAATCCAAATGCCACAACATCAACCTTGTCACGCCTGTACACGTGGTCTCGCAGGTCGTCCCGTTCATCTTGCACGCGCGCGAGCTCGGTCGGCGGATTCTCATTGTCTACAATACGTACTCATTCGATTCATCAAACAACCTAAAGCTTCTGAATGGACTGGTAGTTATCCGTCCGCCAGACTCCAGCGTGTAGAAGAATGGCATGAGTAATCGACTACTAAAGGCGGACAAGTACACGGCGACGGCCACGGAGAGCATCAAGTCTATACATGCCAAAGTCGGCAACTTCTGCTTCACCGTAGGTGGCATCGCGAAGAGCGGCGTGCTTGTGCACCGTCTCGTGATGTCGGACCTGGATGGTGAGGGCAAGGATCTCATGGGGTGGCTCGCGGAGAACATATCCAATAACATCACGGTACACGTCATAGAGTAGCACTTCCCGCGCACCCACTTTGGCAAAGAGCGTAGCGTTAGTAAAGACAGAGACATCACTTTCAGCCCTGGCGGCGTGCAAATTCCAGAGACCATGAGGAAAGAAGTCAGTTACGCAGGCATTAATCGCCCAGTCGACCCCGGCGAAGTCGCATCTGTCAGGAAAGCGGCCGAAGAGGCAGACCTATGGCGCTCTGTCGAAGCTGTAAAACATAGCAGTTTTGATATCTGAGCACAGTTGCTGAACTCTCTTTGTTTGCGAGGTGCTATGGCTGCGCAAAACCTCAGCTCTTGGGGCAGGGACAGGTCGGCTCCTTCCTTCCCTTTGACTCACCTCACCTCGCCTCGCTCCCCCACGCTTCATCCTCTCTGCTCACTGACACAGCACACGCAATCGCATATCCACAGAGCATATTAATATGCAACCACTCACCGCAACGGACATTGCTGCTGATCTAGTCGACTCTGTTCATCAGCTCAAGACCGAACGAGACACCTGGCAAGCCCTTGCACTGCAGTACAAGGCTGCCTTCGAGGAGCAGACGGCTCGCCTTAAAGAGCTGCAGAACATCTGCTTTGCTACACAGGCTGAATTGGAAAACGAGCGGGTCGAGTACCGGCGTCTGCACATGGGCTTCGATGGCGCACAGCATGATCGCCCACCCACCGTGGACAGCAGTGACGATACCGAAAGCTCCCATCCTTTTGGCACTGCAGTTGTGCTATCTCCGACCCGCATCGACATGAGCTGGAGGCTTCGACCTTCTGAACAATGCGGCAACCCCATCTTTAAGCGCGTTCAGCAATTTACATCGCAGCGAAACTACGGTACCGCGCTGGTTGAGATAGAGCGGTTGCTCCGCGGCCCACTCAGCCCCAAAGCACGTGCTGAGGGTCTACTGCTGAAGAGCAGTATCCTACAAGCGACCGGTCCCGACTCCCTCTACGAAGCCCTTGCTGCCTGTAGCGAGGCTCTCGAGCTTTGCGATCGCGTGTCAGAGCTGCAGTCTCTGTTGCCCAGAGTACAGTATCAGCGAGGTCTATATTACTACCAACTGCGGATGCTCCAACAAGCGCGGGAGGCATTTAGAGCGGTCAGCGAGGAGAACCTGCTCTTTGAGAGAGCCAACGAGTATCGCCAATCTTGCGATGACGAACTGGAGCTGCTTCACTTCGATCGCCGCGCTGCATTCGACGAGACCCGATCAATCACTGACAGTCTCCTCGGTCAATTGAACATCGGTTCGTCTCACGTAAGTGTCCACTGCATGATCAAGTCTCCAAACACTGACAGTCTCCAGGGTCGCCTGCGACGAACGAGTGCACAGCTCAAGCTTCGTGCCACTCAGAAGGCAAAGCGAATGTCACTCCCGCAACGATGGGTGTCCTCAAAGAGCGACATGTCGTCGAGAACAGACGAGGTCTGATGCAGGTGGGCATCTTCACGGACGGCTTCCGTGCTCTGTCAATGCGTCGTTGCACTCGGACCTCACAGTGTGATCGATCTTAGCAACGATTATCACATTGTTCATTAGTTCATTATCATCTAAGATTTCTCTGCAATGGCACTGTGTTTTCGATCTCTCCGGGACTGTCGTGCACTGTAAATGCTCAACTGGCTTTGAGCGATCTCATGCGCACCGTGAAGTTTCACAGTGCAGTGTGACGTAAAACTCCAACCTCGCCCACGGAATTGTCCTCTTCCATGCTGCAATGGATCTCTATGCTTTTTCCCTGCTGATGACAGTATATGAGCAATACCCACCGCCGGCGGAGCGATCAGCGTTTTCGTTTGCCATCCGCTCTTTCCACCATGAACATATCGACCATCCGATCGACTCATGTCTAACCTCTCCGAACCTCTTCGATCCATCCCAGGGGCGACTCACTACTTCCTCGCAATCTCCTTCGAACTTGCCGGTGATCAAGCGCGCAAACAGCATCTCCGGCGAACCTATGTCTGAGCAAGAACAGCCCTTCCAATCTGAGCTTGGTGACGCCTTTGCAAGACCACGCTCGGATCTCACAGCCCTTTTCAAGTCGATCCACGGTCTTGTTGCGACGATGCGACACTCACAGGTCCAATACCTGCTGATGCGCTGCCAGGTGCTCCGAGCAATCATTCAGAGCCTTGAATGCCGGTCCAGGGCCTATGAGCATACTGCTTTGATACAAAACCATTACGAGGCTATTAGAGTGCTAGCTCTTGAGGCTTGCTCGCTAGCTAGAGGCGTGAGAGATTCAGGGCTGCAAGTCAGGGGCGAGTACTGGGCTGGACGTGCTTGTGAGGGCGTTGAAGAGGCAAAGAATGCTGAGAGGCATTTCGAGCGGGCCGGTGCGCGCAATCAGTGTAATGACAGCGAACTAAAAACATCCACAATTTCCCCAAAGGAGAGGGCGGACCTTAAATTACGACTTCAGAAAGTCGAAAATCGTGTCAAGGTCGAAGAGGCTGCCCGCGACGCTGGTCTAAAATCCGAATGCCTACCTCCGCTGCCGGAATCTACGCTGTGGGAGAGAATGTACTTCTAATGTGGCAGGGTTATCGAAGAGTATCCCGAAGATGGGGATGTGCGTGGCGTTTGTGACTGGGAGAATGATCAGGAAACTCATCAATGAAAGAGAGTTGATGGGTGTAGGTACCAGAATTGTCGCAAAAGATATGCCAGTTCACACATCTACTGAAGTCTTCACTATTCACATACCTAAAGAAAGTGACAGAGACTCGAAAAGAACAGTAGGTACTCTCGTGTGAGATATACATCCGCATAACGTTGTCACTACCAAACCTCATCTATCAAACTCCTTCCAACCCAATCTTCAGACACCACAACGCACGCAATGAACAGCACAACTCGAATTTTCACTCTGGGTGCGCGATAAGCTCATAATCAGCACTACTATCCCACCGACAAACACTCACCCCGGAGTTCACCGGTATCAGCGTGCACCCGTCCCTGGCCGCGGTCCTCTGGGTACCCTAACGGCTGTTCATATCACAGTATAAATACTCAGACTTATCCGCATCTTTGCTTCATCGAGAGCACGTATAGCACAGTCGTGGCACGTGACAGTTCGGCGCAGAATTTGTCTTCTGGACGCAAATGAGGTTACTTGTGATGGGGAGAGGACGAGGGCTACTGTTTGGCCAGCTTTAGTTGCTGTGTGTATTGCGCTGATTTTGGTGTTCTGTACTGTGAAGTATTCAGCGAGGGCTGCGCGAAGGTGGTCGAAGGCTGGGAATGAGAAGGTGGAGTGAGCGGTCGGATGGTAGTGGAGATTGAGATGCAGGCTTAGGTTGAGGGCGGCTATTTTTGTTTGCAACGTATCGGTTATACCTTGTGACCTGAATAGATATTGTGAACTCGGTAAGTACAGGTTTGTGCAGGCTGTGATTTAAGGGGCTACTTAGCCAACAACTGGTTAGAAATGCAACATGCGCAGCAAACCAGCGTATAATTTGCACGAACAGATACATAAGATTCAGAGAAACACCGAATCATAGAAAAATGACCCCTCTGCCGCGCCCACTGCGGGGGCTCTCCCTCCAATGGCTAATGCTGCGCGCAAGATAGGCGCCTTCATCCTGCCTAATCATGCACCATGCCCACTTCAGCTTAGCACGCACCACGTATAATGCAAATAGACTCTTCTAAGCACTCTCATTTCGACAATTGTCATATGACCTTGCTCCAATCACGTCTGTGCAAACCTGCTGCGCGTGCTCGTACTGCGCAACGGTACAGACCGATTCTCCACCTCACGGCAGAGAAGCCCATCATCACAGAGACAACCGATCGCACGCATTCAGCAATGGGAGCATCTTATCTATCAGCAGGTACTTCTTCTGAAAGAAGCCCAGCTTCAAGACTTCCTGTCGATTACCAACGTCTTTCCGCACAGTGAGTCCACAGAATGATACTGGTATCCTCAGAGCCAACTCTCTGCCGATGCCGGAGCAGAACGCTGGAGGGCTCTTCCTAAAAGCATTCCGAATCAATCATGCTTGTGACCCCAACGTGCAGAACCACCGGAATGATCACTGGAGCCAACTCACTATTCATGGTACAAAGGACATCCGGAGAGGTAAAGAGATTACTATCTGCTATTTGAATAGCTGTAGCAACCGTCGAGTATGACGATAAAAACCCCAAAGGAACTTCAAGTTCACATGTTCCTGCTCGCTTTGCTCGCTGTCGTCCGAACAAATCAAAGAGAGTGATCTGAAGCCGGACAGAATCCACGTGGTGGATGGCATTATCGACTCAGCCAGTCTAACAGACCTCGTCTCATCTGCCGAACGATTACTCGGGTATACCAATCGACAGATCCAGCTCTGGAATGACCAAAGTCCAAACACAATCGGGCTTGCCCGAGCGTATCCCGATGCTATACGAATTGCTGCAACAAGTAGTGATGCTGCGAGAGTTCGCATCTTCGCAGACAGACTGGAGCCTCTTTATCTGATCACAATGGGCGATGACGGCTCAGATCAGATACGATGTATCGCATTACTTTCAGGCCCCACGACTCATGAAGATTGGGGACTGTCGACGAAATGGAAGACAATGATAACGGATGTACCTGTGTTGGAGGAGAGGGAATTCGAAGATTGGCTTTGGAGGAGGTGAGGACGTTTCTGGGCATAATAGACACCATATTCACAATGTGCAACCTCCAGCATCTCTACCTGTGCGACTACAGCATTCAACGGTGCTGCTAAGTGGAGCTTCAGTCATACCGCAACGTGGAAGAAATCATTTTAATCAAATTTTATTCCGATCAATCGTCTAGGTAAGCTATTCCCTTTAATAACAGTAAAATTCCCCAGCTCACTTTACATGCTTGCATCAAGATCGCTCCTGCACTGGACTGCTTTTCCTTCCTTACTGCCACGCAATCGTATTCTTGACACCCATTACACTCGAGAGGCTGATGTTGCTACCTATCTCTTACTCTAACTGCCAAAGGTATCTTGCGACTTCTCATCTTCCATCAGCGTCCAGAGATGCTCTGCGACGGGCCCATGTGCCTTCACAGATGACAATGCAGGTCGTACCCAGGCAGAGCGGCTAGACAGCGGTATATACCGCCATTCACGATCCCGCAATGCCAGGTAATAAGTCTACCTCGTAACATCGGGAGAGTGATATATGTAAACTGGTCTTGAGAGCCAGTATTTTCAGTATGGCACACGTGACAATAGCGAGATTGTCTGGGTCGCACCATGACGCTCTGTTCATGATACAGTGATACACTCAACTATCACAGGAATACTTTATCGTTATTTATCCCCGCATTAGCTCACAAAGAAGCAAGGACTACTTTGTCTCCAACCGAATGCAGACTTGTACCCATTCTGAAGAATTGGGCAGTCACGACCCATGACAGTGATCGATATAGCGTGATAAGTAGTAGTTGGCAAGACATGCGGCATCTACCCCTACATGACACCGCGCTCAGGTGCGACGCCTGTAAACTAATACGCGCGGGCTATTGTATGTCCGAGTTCGTGTATATAATCCGGAAGGCAAACGTGTGTAAGCGAAGAAGATGGGGAAGGACATATCGCGCCTTGGAGGAGGTAATCGGAAAGGATGTATTTGCAAATCATATTTTCGGAAAGCAGGCGACACATGCTTTCGTCATCTGAAGACGCGTCTTCCACAACTGCGATCCTACTTCTGCAATGAGGCTGATAGTGAAGGGACACCGGACAAAGTCCCAACTTTCCGCAACCTAGTTTGTTGACACGGTTACAAGTCTATACCCCAGCCCCAAAACAGATATCAATACTTGACAGCAAGGCCTTGACCGCATCACTTCCATATCCTTTGTTCCCGAATGACGCAACTTTACACCTCCCCGTGCCGGACCGAGCCCGCAACAAGGCCCACCTGCATTCGGCACTCACTCGACCACAATGTCGGGACATCAGGCATCCAACGACGGCGCCGATCAGTGCAACAAAGAACGGAGCTTTCGTCTCGAGTTGCTCTCTGCAATTTGGCCCAACGGTACTGCGCATGATCGTCATTCTGACAGGGTACAGCGCGCTGACAGCGGGGTGACACGTTGTACGACGAGACATGCCGAGTTTGCCCATACGTGTGCAGCGTCAAGGCATTCAACAAGGTTGATACCAGTGTTCAGCGCAACAGCAGGCCGGGGCTTGGCCGAAATCGTGCAGTCGTGTTAGTCGCAGAGCGCTTGCCCTATTGCAAGCATCAAGACTTGCTAGGTCGACAACATTCCCGGAGCTTACCTTCTAGTCGGTATGCGAGACAGTGAGCGCATGTTCTTCTAACTCTTCCAGAGACTTTCCCGTCACCGACATTGCACTCTTTGACATATGTGGCCCACTCCTGACCAGGCGTCTTGTCCTTTTCTAGTGTTCCCTTAGCCATTGCTTCCTTCTTTTGCTTCGTCGTCGCTTGAATGTTGTTTTCATATCTGCATCTACGTCGGTAAGAAAGATGCCAGCCAATTGAATTTAGAAAAAGTCAACGTCCGCTCAGGTAGGTCAGAACGCGATTTAGTAGTGAAGGCGATGACAACTACGAGCAGATAGATTAGGGGCGCAAATAATGGCGGACTCAAAGAACCGAATGGAGGTTTGTCAGAAGGATATGGATCGAGGACGCATGATAGGTGATGGAGTTGGAGGTTAGATTGAAAACTGAATTGAAGACATTGAGTGGAAGCCGGGGCTATGATGCCGATGTGCCATAACATCGCTGTTCAGCACAGCTTCGAGACAGCTTCTCGAGAAAGTGGTTCCTTCTCGCCACTTACTCTGATGGCTAGAACGCTTGGCAGCAGTCTCACTCACCTTTCCTGACGATGACAATATATACATGTACCTCCTTACCTTGGTGCCCACCGTCGTCGGCGCGACTCCGGATCCTGGCTCGGCATCTCGATGAAGCCGACAGTTCATGTCTAACCTCTGCAGCGGCGCCCAACGGAAGGCCGAGTGGCCGCGGTAGCGTCTCCGATTGATCGAGAAGGTACTTCGAGATCCATTACCGAGCATCGGGTTCGCGGAGGCCGATCCCCGAACAGCCAGAACAACGTTCATATCGGCCCTACTATTGCGAAATGCGGTGAGGTGTGCTGTTGCTCGGCAGTTCTTGGACGGACAGGCCTGAGTAATGCCGATTTTGGGCACCAAACCGACGATCTGCGTGTTGTGATTGCTGGTTACGGTAACAGATGAAAGGAGGGATTGTTTCCTGTTCCAACTTCCAAGTCGACAACCTTGGAGGTGGGATGGGTTAGAGAGACATGCGCGGTTGTGGCACGAGCTCTCTGCTCGGGCCGAGCGGATAGCGAGGGCCTTGACGTTGGGTATCGACGATGCTGGGCAGCTGGATTGACGCTGTTCCTCGAAACCTGTTTCGGGGCGTAAAGCACAGGCAGACCTAGCAACATTGCATAGCAGGCAGATCGATGCTACTTGCAATAATGGTGGCTTAACTCTGCTGATGTCCGGTAGGTCTTGGCTCCAAGATGCGATTGCGGATGAGAGCAACAGGTTCTGGACGTCAAGGCATGTTGACTCGCGACAATGCTGGGGTACGATTCGTTTGATCGATGCAGGGTGCATGTTTGATGTTCCCGTCGGCAGTCGTATCAGTCGCTCGTCCATCAGTGATGGATTTTGAATGTCGTAACTTTGTGATTTGAGACATTGTTAGACGTGAGAGTACACAACGGCGTGCAAAAGACGCAGGTGGATTCTAAACAGACGGAGTCCTCAGCGATCACAGCGTCGATAAGATGACGAAGCGAGGTCGACGTGCCGCAAGCTCGATTGATAGTGGTGCGCGACCAAGTGATTGAAAGCTTTCGCATTGTGGTGTACTTGAAGCCGTATTGCGGTGGTTGTTGCCAATCCAGTCGTGCCGCCTGAAGCCTCAGTCACAGGTTGTCCTTGTCACAGCTTTCGTCAGAAGGGTGTGCGTAGTTGCCCGGAGATGCGCGGGAGGTATAGCCCGAGATTTCATATTAGTAGCGGCTGCGTGCTAAAGTGTTGGGTCCAGACCTACGCTCGTAGACAATGTTGCATTGAAGCGTTGCAGCAGAATCGCCTTATATTTGGGTATGCCCTAATTATTCAGGCTGTACCGCTACCTGTATTATAAGTGTGATGAGCTGCAAGCCGCGTTTGTGCACAGCGGGTGTGAGCACCTGGTGCATCTTGTCAATGGAAGATCAACCAGGCTGACTACATCACTAAACGTCGCCAACGCGCAGGTAGTGGCTTCGCACTACTGCAGCTCTACTTCGTACGTGTTCGCTGGAGTACGGGGGGATACAGGCTATACGAATATGCTGAGGCTGTCGAATCAGGGGGGTGGAAATTGAAGCGGGCGGCGCGTGCGTTCACCAAGTCCAGGTCACCGGAACAATCTCTATCGCCGTGGGACGGGGGCTCGGGGGACCTGCATCATCATAAAACGTCCTTCAAACTCTATACTCAACCATAGGGCTTGAATGTTGATACTGGTGATCACTCGCGGGCTTTCCGTGGTAGACAATTGACGGTTTTACGATGCCAAAAGCGTTCACTATTGCAGTAATGCTGCAGGAGAAGCGCCTCTGGTAGTCTGGGCGGTTCTCAATGATGTCGTTCGATGGTGACGATGTCGCTACTGGTCTAGTGCAGCGACAGTATCTAACGGACGGCCAAGGGCACAAGATCCCGTGTAATTGCACCGATCTGCGGCACTACAAGACGGTTGCTGCCTCACCTGCCAGTGCACAGCGGGCATCGTCAAAAGTCATCCGAGCGTAGGAGTTGTGCCACCTCGTGGACAGAGCGTCCTGCGATGTGAGTGGTGGCTTGATGGTGGGTGTGGTAAGTATGCAGTGCATTAGCCGATCCGCGCTGTGGACGAAGTTAATGTGAGGTGGCGGATCGTTAGCTAGGTGTGGTAGGAGCTATGCAGGCCGTGCGTTCAACGGAATTCGTGCGGAACGCTGCTGAACACCGCGAACAAGAGATCGCAGCATTGATGAACCCAGCCTGATTCAGAGAGCTCTGCTTGTGATGAAAATGTGAATCGGTCAAGGAAGATCCCAAGAGTTCTCCACCAAACGCTCAAGTGTCAAAACGGTAGATTGTGTCCGCGGAACGGAAAAGCCCCTGTTCGAGCTACCGTCCACGGGAATGGCACGCACTTTGTCGTATCAGGCCACCGCCCCGCTGCACTCCCGTGGCAGAGGTCGAGGCCCAACCCTCCTCAGGCAAGACTGTACACACGCTGGCTGCAAGCAGCCTTCGCGTGCATTGCTGGCTGGCTGGCTCCCTGGTGTCGTGTCTGCGTCACATGGAGCGCGCGACACTGCTTTGACCGGGAGCATACCGGCGCGCTGCAGGAATGGCCAGCAATTGGCAGGCATCTTTCCCCAGCGTGCATTTCGGCCCACCTGGCAGCGGATGGGCCAGTGCTGCTTTGCTAGCGAAGTTTGTGCACAGTTCGGGGTCGAATCGATACCAGCGGGCTGGAAAGCGGGCTTCCTAGCCCACTTTGACGCCCTCCGCCAGTGGTGCCCGTACATAACTGACCCTCCGCCGCTGTAAGGGTCATCCCGCTCTCACGCTGGAGTTCGCTGGACGGCCGCCGACGACACCATTCTGTTGCTGCGACACGCCGACGTCCCTTGTCGAGGTGCAATCTTTGTTGTTGGTAGAGGACGCTCGTATTGGACAGCCGCCAAACCCACTCTCCCGGTCGTTCCGAGGCTACGTTCACTGTCTCAGACCCAAGGACCAGTCCCCAGGAATTCTGTCAATACATGCTGACCACTAGATCGACATATCGTGTTCGTGAACCTGGATCAGCCTGCGTTGCCAATCACATACAGCTTTTCTGGAATTTTCTTTACTATGTCGACGCCGCCAGTCACTGGACCGCACGACGGGGAGCGCCGCAAGACCCTGGGTAGATACGTGAAGCGTATGAGCAGTGTGTTCAAGAGGGAGAAGTCGAGCAAGAGCGAGCCCCAGGCGTCGAGTGTTGCTGCGCCTACTACGTCTGCTGCCCCTTCCGCGGTTCCGCGGGAGGAAGCTGCGACTCAGGAAGTTGCCAAGGCACAGTCGATTAGGCAAGAGCTCCCCACAGACGAGCCTGCCGCTGCGTAAGTGTATCGAACATCATGCTCAGGGTTCATTGCTGACTATAGATCGCAGCCCTATTGCTGCTGCCGTCCACCTTACTGCTACGACCAGTGTCCAAGCACTTGCACCCGCACCCGCGCCCGTGAGTTTCACTCCAGTCGTCGACCGCAATGCCATGCAGCTAGAGCGTGCCCGCGCGCTTTTTGCCAGGTACGGTCTGACTCTCGAGTCTGATGACTTGTTCAAGACAGGTGCTTCTGCTCCATTGGTACCACGCGTCGAGAAGGCCATCCGCATGCGTGTCCACCGAAGCTGCCACAAATGTGGTACACTTTACGGCCACGACAAGGTCTGCATGCAGTGTGAGCACAAGCGCTGCAAGCAGTGCCCACGATATCCCAAGAAGAAGACAGCTGGTGAGAAAAAGGAGAAAGAGGTCGCTGAGCAGCCCAAGAAGAAAAAGGTCTTGACCGTCACCACCAGGAACGGTTGCGAGCTTGTATACCAGCCAGCGACCCAGCGAGTCAGACGCATCTGTCACAAGTGCGAGGCTTTCTTTGTTCCTCCCACAGCAACCACCTGTGAGTCATGCAACCATGTAAGATGCACAAAGTGCCCACGAGAGCCCGCCAAGCGCAATAAATGGCCCTCTGGCTACCCAGGGGATGTTGCTGCAGATAGCGAGGACGACATCGAGGACGAGTTGCAGCTTGACCAGTTTCGACGCATCTGGCGGAAGCCCAGACGTGTAGTACGCTGGGAGTGCGAGCAATGCCACAGCTTGTTCCGGCAAGGGTCCCCTCAGTGTCCAGGCTGTGGGCATGGACGTTGCGATCACTGCACACGGTCTCCGTAAGTCATTTCAGACGTTTAATGTTAGGCACACGATCTAATCCATGCACAGTATCAAGAAACTCAGACAGGAGGAGTCATTCGATCCTGCTGTTGTTGCTGCTGTTGAAGCCAAGCTCAGAGCATTAGGTGTCGACTCCGACCCTCCCACCTCTGAGCCTGAGCATGTTTAATCTGTTACCTTTGCGAGCCTTACGACCTAGTGTTGATATCTTTCTGCTACACTATCGACGGATGGACGGTTGAGCTTGCGACGTCGCCCAAGCGGCACCATCCGTCGCATTACAATAAATTATCTTTACGCTGTTGTCATTCAGCACACTTCTCCACACATCTTCCAAGTTCACTCACACCTCCAATCAAGCCTCATGACTATTCCTGCATACCTACTGCTTACCTTCCATCTCAAAGCACTGTGCCATACACAATCCCTGCCGACGTTGGGCACCCAACGTCCTTGTGCTTTGTACCACCCACCCGTCATACCCGAGCCCTGCCCAACGCGCCACCACATCTGCACACGCAAGGGAATGTCGCACCTTTCTCCACATTCCTCGCTTACCTGCCTACTGCCCTGTCCTTACTGCCCTTCACGTTGGGGGATACAGAGCTGCCATACCGGAGGGTTGGGATCGGGGATTTTGGGAATCTTGGGGATCGCCGCGATGCTAATCGTCCGAGCCGAATGGACCACGCTCCGCATCTTCTATTTTGTTATGTACGAATGTCAGTTGAGTGATGCTGAGACGGTGTGTCTTACTCGCAGACCAGCTGAACTCTATCCGGCGCAGTGCTACACTCGCCTGGGCGCTTGCTCTCTCTTCTCCACGGCGCTGGCCGCCCACACCGTCCTCCCCGCTACCCTGCGCAAGCTGTCTGCCACAGCTGACCAGCGCAGAGTGCGTCACTCGCACGATCTTCCTCTTTCGTCGATGCGAAGCTGTGGCAACGTATCAGATAAGGGCGCGACTGGTCGTACAAGAAGCGATGGCGGACCTCTTTTTGTGCGACACCGGTTGGCAGACGAGCGTTATAATCACACGGCAGGAGTTGTGTGTTGAGTGACACGGTACGTAGCCGGACAGTATGCACAGGACCCTTTCAAACCACACCAGGTATTGATTTATGATGCATAGTAAAATATCGGTGCAGTACTAATGATTTCTGAATTTCGAGGGTAATAATAGTAAGCAAGACTCCGCGTGTATGGGAATGGAAATACGGTACCCTCACCAGACACGAAGTTCCAGAGATATTCGATTATACTTTGAGTTCTGCAGAGAATAGGTTTCCATGCTCTCGGACGATCGCTCATTGATGTGGACACCTTGCATGACGAGCAGGCACTCTCATGCAAGCCTCTCGAGCTTCTTTGATGAGCTCGACGACCAAGTGAGAACGCTGTGGTAACGACAGGTCTTGAGAGAGAGTTTGAGGGCACTGAAGTCATCGTCGAAGACCACCTTTTCGTCTAGACCTAGAGTCGAATCGATTTGGATATTGATGACAGTCCGGGTATCGTTGGAGCCACTGACATCTCATAGTTAGCATCAGCCTTTCTCTCAAATGAGAGCAGATGAGTGCATGTAGATAGTGATAGGACTAAGTGGGCAGAAAGCTGAAGGCAAAGGGTAGAAAGTAACAGCACAAGACGGTACAGAGAGGCAAGAGCAATAGAGCCAAAGCCACCAGGCGACAGCATTGGAGCAGGAGTAAAACTTCAAAGTAGAAGTGGCATCGCGGATGAGAATTGAGACCTACGCCTCCCAATGTTGGCTCGGATGCTCTGGCGCGAAAACATTCCCAGCAAGTGGGACTCAGACACTTCCTAATTGTGAAGCGACACAATCCCAAGCAGCAATACTAATACACCAGCTGTGCTATGTAGAGCCATAACTTCATATTTACTAATAGTGCAGACTCCTCGTAAGCGGCCAAATATTGTTCACGACATAAAGCTCGCAATTCGAGGGGTCGAGGTCATGTGGCTCGTTAGTGAGATGTCTATTTGATCTCCACCTCGTTTGTGACTGTTATGTTCATTCCATCGCTAGACGATACTACACCATTACGACTGCTCGCTATGTGGGCCTGCCTTTTGAACCGATCATCTCCATGGTTGTGCAATATACCTTCAATGGTCTCCAAGGAAGTGCTGTCTTGCTGCGGACACAAGCTCTCCTCGCTGCTGACTCGAAACGTTGTCGAAAACAGATTGGGTGTCTTCCCAGTTTTGGGCTTTGACCCTACATTATACACTTGCATCTCTTTATCCTCGATCGCTCGTTCGTGTTCTCCTCGCCGTGGTGTCCCCCGTGGTGCATCTGACGATATGGATGAGCTGTATCTGCCGATGACAACACGCCAAAATGGTTTTAATGCAAGGAACGATCCGGCGATTATGAAAATATTATTTTCGGTCCTGTTATATCAAGTCAGGCACACTCAGGAATCGATGAGACCGGACTTACAGCGACCATATTATGAGCTCTGACCAGGAATAGGTCATGTCTGCAGCATTGGAGATGCTGTGCATTGCTATGATCTTCATCACGGTAGCGAATGTACCACTACGGCTGTTAGTAATTGCGCGGGTGTTGTAGCCATAAGATCTTACAGGATACTACCTCCCATCAGGAATATCAGGACTCGCTTGTCTTTTCGCGGGACGTTGAGGCTTCGAATTACCAAGTACGGCATGACAGCGCAAAAAACGTCCATGATGGCGTTGTATGCTGCGAACTTCAGTGTCCGACATGATGTTCGCAGGTATTCGAACATGCCTGAGACCAATCTTGCACCAACATTCAGCCAAGCGGGGTTCAGGCAGGTGCCCTCCATCTGAGGTCTCCATAACTTTTCCACAGGCGAGCAAAAGAATATCGTAATTGAGCATGACAGCACGGAGAGAACGAACATAAGGACTAGAGGAGCGTATCCGATACAATTGTGCGACAGGTGTGCTGTGTGTCCTCGAATCTGGATTGTTTAGCTGCGATGACATCCTTCCCACAACGGTTCGCACTTACTCTCATCAACGCGATGATGATGGATGATTTTGTGAAGAATGCGCTGAAGATGGAGAAGCATGACGCCAATAGCACGCACATAGCAGCTAAAGCTGCATCTCCCGGATCCCTTATATCCCAAACATGCTGTCCGAGCCCGTGTGCGGTGCCAGCTGTGACGAGCGACGTGCAAATCAAAGCAAATATCTGTGATTGTTGTTAGCCAGTCACAACTTTTGCAAGGCATAAGTGTCCAGATTCGCGCTCACCAGGCCAGCAACCATGCACCAATCGTCCCATCCTAGACTCGTCCTCACGATTCGTGTACGGGTGTACGATCGCGCTACCACAAATACCATCGACAGTGCGAGAATCGTCCACCCGACGATATTGAGGACTTTCCGATAGTCATTCATGGTGAATATACGTGAGTAGTGACAGAATCCAGAGGGACCCGGACGTCACTTGCACACAAGGCTTTGGGACAAAGCATCGTTCAAATACTGATCTACGAATCCCAGGTCCCAGGTATCAATATCGCTTGATTACTGCCGCTTCTTATTCAAGTACATACCACTGTATCTGACGAAGCACTGTCGTATCGTACTTTTTTCCTGTCCGTGAATCCTGCAGGGTGACCCTTCGACGTCCAGAAGTGCGTGTGATTTGGTGGTTTCGAGCTGTGCTGCAATCCTTCGTAAAGCTATGTTCAACTACGCGCACTCACCCCCGACAGCTACATGCAACGTCATTGGATACAACCAAGACGGGCCGCAACTTACGGTCCGTTAGTCGCAATGTTATTGCACTCGTTCGGTAAGATCAACAAGGCTTTTCCTTCGCCATCGGCAGTCGGAGAAATGATGTAACCACGTGGCTCAGATCACATGATATCCTATTGTAGCGGGCACTGCCCGGTGGGCAAGTGCACTTACCTGAGAGCTGAGAGCTTGTGTAACACAACAACAGAACATCACACAACACGACAACAGATAGCAATACACTTGTTGATCACAGTCTCCGACCGACACTGCTCACGCAGTTACAAGTGAGCTTTCCAAAATCTTTTACCCCAAAATTCTGGTCATCTTGTGTTGCGGTATCAAGGGCAAAATGTATAAACGAGTGTATTATGTTCTTCTGTGTTGTCGTTCTGCTTGTACCTTTTCTCTCCAAGGCTTGCTGCGAGGTCTGTTTTGATGACGTGTTTGTGATGCCGCTGAGGTAAGAGGTGCTCAACAACATGAGGAAGCAGCACCAGACCACCGCCAACAACACGTGATCTGCTTCTCCTCTCAACCGTTACATCTTGCGATGCCAAAGGCCGAGGGTTCGAATTCCCCTCTTATTTCGTCTGAGATCAGAATAGATCTACGCACTGGCCACGATCCACTCCACTCAGTCTCCTGGAGCGGGTTGCGTCGAGGCCTCGCATGAGCGCCTGCTCATGCCTCGCGATCGCGTTGTGGCGTATACATAGAAAGTATGTTCCCCCACACCTGGTGTACAGAGGTAAATTCCTTTGTAATTTCGCACAACGGCAATGGCATCACCAAAAATTATATTTAGTGTCAGTTTGTTGGTAACCTTATACCTCTGGATTCGAAGCGACAGGATTCAAAGATACCTCCAGGACCACCTCGTCTGCCTGCCATTGGTTGGCAACTTGCACCAGGCCCCTAAGGATGCGGTTTAGGTTATCTATCAGGTAAGGATCGAGCAGTATGGTTCTCTTGTGTATCTGAACTTCGGCGGTACAAATGTACTTCTCATTCGCGTTCATGATATCGCCAAGGATTTGCTCGAGAAGAAGACGATTCGACGAATATCTACAGCAGTCGATCACGCATGGTAGGCCACCAAATTTCTCCGCCCCAGAAAAGAGTGATGATTTTGACGCACAAAGGTAATGGTACAAGAGTTGACATGCAAGAGTACGCACATCATGTTCAAACCGCTCGACAAGGACTTCCTATTGCAAACGACTCGAAGCCCCAGTGCTTAGCCCTTGCGCCTCGGTTTGTTGTACATCAACCCAGGATCTTAAAATCAAACAGCTACGTAGAAACCTCCTCCAGTCAAACAATGTCCCCAGAGAATTTGAGCGTTTCGCAGCGAGCTTCGTATACTCTATCACCTTTGGTATATGTGTATCATCACTCGTGACGAATGGCAGCTTCAAACTAACCATGAGTGACTCAAGAGTTTCACTATTGCCGGCCAAGTTGAGTTTTAGATCGTTGACCTGTTCCCGTCCCTCAACAATATACCAGCACCGCTCGCGGCTTATAAGAAACCTGCTAAGACATAGTACAAGATGTAGAAGTGCGCACGCGTTACAACAAAACAGCAGATCCTAATCAACCTTAGAGAACTGGATCTTGAAAGGTAAGGCCTTTTCATCTAGATAATGACAGATTAAGCAATCTGCCTTGATTTTAAAAGGCAATCCCATACCTCCTAGAATACGCGAACAGAGTATCTGATTCGATCACAGAGCTCCGATGCGGTGCGGGAAGTCCAATCAGAGCCTCAGATGATCATACTGAGAGATACACTGTCAGATTCGCCGATACATCACGACTCTACGGCTACCTTGTCGGCCGCCCGGATGACCCGATGTTCCCACAGAGATACTGGAGCACAGTGGAGCAACGTACAGGGCTCTTCGACAGAGACTACGAAAGCCACTGTGACAGCATCTGTCGAGCTGCGCGAGCCGGTGGTGACTACGGATGCGTAAATGAGGCCATGTCAGCTACAAGGAGCTTTTGCTGCGGATTTGCGTGTGGCCGCGCCGAACATGATCTTGCTATCGTCGCAATTCCTGCGTTCTAGGGTCTGTTCCGGCTGTTCTGCTCGCGTGTGTTATAGAATGAAGCAGAACCGTGCCATATAACATCTGCTGGGAGGATCCCGGTGGATATTGTTACTGGAACAGATGTTGGGTGAAGACGTTACATGATTGTGAGCTGCTGCTCTACCGGTACCGCGTGGCAAAGGGAGCGAGCGCGGTACCTACGCGGGGCTATCCATCCAAAACACTCCGGTTTTTTGTAAGTGTAACCAACGGAATTGCGCTCGAAACCTACGAACCAGCTTGCGTATACAGCCCTTTCGACGAACTAGAGCTTCTTTTCTGACCAAGACCCTATCAGCATCATTAGGAGATCGCAGGATGGGGTTATCGCAAGTTTTCTGTAAGGATACCGTTCGCTGAAGACGCTATTTGGATCGTAGAAAACTTGAAAATCGCCGCGATGGTCTGTTCTGCTAGTGGGTGGATTCACTTCGGCCTCTATTCGCATAGACAGCGTTGCCAACGGGACGTATACGGCCAAGGTGAGGGTCAATTGCCGTAACCTTCGGCAACTATAGGCAACTGTAGCGTCCCGAAACCTACTTAGGGGATGCGGCATACGGACAGTAGGCGTAGATTGCCGTAATTAGCGTAGTACTGCAGCATCGCTGTGCACGTGACATGTGCTAAAAAGCAAAAGATAAAAACAGTGCTCTTCATGTGACTTAAACTTATATTACGGCCTTCAGTAGACAACGACTGTCAGAGCAGATCGATGATGATCGTATCTTCCCAAAGTCCTGCATAACAGTGAAATCGACGTTCCATAGCCATGCGTTTTGCCACACCCTGTAGAGCAGGGAGTTTGTCCAGAGGATATGACAGCTGGAGTGCAGAGTAACTGTACACGATGGAATGCCATACAAAGGTTCAGAAATTGTTCTCCTTGAGTAGGTCCGGGGGAGGAGGGGCGTCAAACCAAAAGAGACATGTGCTTCTTCGCCCGACTCGAAGAGAGCCAGGTGCATCAGCAGAGCTATCGTTCTCGGCCCGCCCTTCTGCTGCGCATTCCTAGTACAATGTGTTGGCAGCAAAATGCACTATTCCGGTTGGTAGTAACCACTCTTGAAGAAACCAGGCACGTTCTTGTAGCTGCAAACGCTTTGTCGGGAAAAGCGATATTGGTCTGACACAGACGCTACAACTAGGCCCTCCGTCAAATCCAGGAAATCAGTGCATGACCAAACTGGTCGGTTCTACAGCAGGATCGTATGATAGTAGAGGCTGATGCAAGTTACATCTACTATCTGAAGAGCCGGTTGCGGTGAGTGTGAGACGCGCACTTGAATACATAACGGCCATTTTACCCCCCTCCAAGCGTTAAGATTATCCTGAAGTATGCAAAGACTAAAAATGCAAATGAAATGATGCCCAAGTCTTACTGCAGTATCGATTGCTTCATGGGGATTAAGCGGGACGTCTGCCCATGGCACTGCTTCTTTAAAAGATCCAATCATAGATGATGTCAACTGCAGTGGTACTACACCACCCCAATGATGACTAAGACAAAGATAAACCCCATGTTCATTTTCGTTGTTCAAACAAAGTCGAACTTTGTGGCCGGCCTCGATGTCGAGCAATCGCTTTGGTAGAGGCGTTGAACTAACGTTTGTGGCCATATGGATGTGATTTCGTACAAATGTGCAGCCAACTAGAAATCTGTTCCTGTGCTGCATCTGCGTTTTCGATGCCCCAGATCCTTGAGCTTCTGGGAATAGACGGATAGGGGCAGTGGCAATCTAGGAGGGCCAGCACTCGAATGAAAGACGCTAGCAGATTCGCTACTCGCTACAAACAAGGAGGCGTAGTTGTCTGCTATGCCTGTGTCAATACGCCATGTTCATGTCAACGGCAAATCGCTCAAGAGGGTATATCCATCTATTGGCCCAGAACGCCCTTTCCCTAAACCTGTGACCATATCATAAAGCGTCGACGCCTAACGGCTGCCTGCCAAACCGCCAAATAGCGGGTCGTCGTCGATGCTCCAGGCCTGTCCATCAAGTCGCGCCTTCTTCTCGAACCTCGTCTCGCTGTAACCGTCGCCTGAGGCGTACCGCTTCGCCTTCGCGGGGACCTTCTGCTGCTGCTCGGTAATAGTGGGCGTGCTGATGCGCGAGCCACCGATCGCTGGGGTGGGGAGCGAGGTGTCCGTGAGCGCAGGTGGCGACGGAAGAACGGCCTCATCAAGAAAGATCACGTGCTCTTCGCGCTGCTCAGGCGCCTCGAGTGTGGGTAGTCGTCCGTTGTGAATTGTGTTGGCCTCGTTGGCGATAGCGGCGGCCGGGGCGTTGGAGCTGTTGACAGCAGCGGCATTCTGTTCGAGCTGGTGCTCTGCCTCCTTGCGCTCCTTCAGCCATGCATCATGCTGCTCTTGATAGTCGATCTCAGTGTTCGTCATCCACTCGCTATGCTGCTTACTATTCTCGCATGCCTCGACACAGTCCGGGCATTTGATGTAAAAGCCTCCGCTTGGAGAAGGCTCCCCCATGATCTCCAATTCGGGGAGGTTCTGGCCGACAAGGGTGGTCTTGTCCCACTCCAAGCAGTCCTCACAGAAGCCATGAGGACACCATCTGCACCTGAAGATCAGGCCGCCGGCGTCGGTTGTATTCTTTCCGCAGTCAACACAGTTGTGCTGGGAGCAGTAGAAGCCGTTAAAGCCCTTGACCTTTGACTGGTATTCTGATGTAAGACAGTCATAATGATATGCCCTAGGGCAAGACTTGCATTCGACCAGATGGCCTGATTCATCGCCGTTGAAGCATTCAAGACAGTGCTCTTCGTGCGAGATCTCTCGCTTCTTCTCCTTGACTGGATCCGCAAGGCTTGCATCTTTTCCTGCAAAAGTCGGGACTGCTTCCCAATCACCACAATTCATGGACTCTTTACTAACGGCAAAGCCGTCGACCATGACTGTTGTGTTTTTGCCTCGACGTCGGTCCTCGCGCGTGATGCTATCAGGAAGGATGTTGGCAGCGGCTGCATTAGATTGGTCTTCTTTCTGACGCTGAAAACGTTTGCCGTCAAACACGGCACACTCAACACGCTCCATGACAGAGAGCCACTTCTCCTCGTCAGCTTCAGGGTGTTGTGGATCAATAGTATGCGTTTCGTCTGCCGGCTTGTCTCTACACTTTGCCATCATAGTGGGAAGGTCCCATGAGAGCATCTCAGTCACGTCGATCTCAGGGTGGGAGAGTGTCTGAGCTCCTCGACGGATCAGGGTCTTCAGCTGTGTCGAGTCCATCTGTGGCATATCGTCCGCGACCGAAGCCTTCGCTTTCGCTGGAGTCTGTTCATAATGAACGTTACGCATTGACTCTGTGATCTTCGCCGAGAGATACAACTTCTTGCGGATGCGTCCCATCATTTGCTCTTCGACTGTGCCCTGTGTGCAGAGCTTGTAGATCGTGACAGGCTGTGTCTGTCCGATGCGATGAGCTCGCGCCTCAGCTTGTAGAGTGATCTGAGGGTTCCAGTCCTCGTCCAGGAAGATAACGTCTTGAGCGCTGGTGAGGTTGATACCAAGACCACCAGCACGAGTCGACAGGAGCATTACCTTGTAATCCGATCCTGCCTGGTTGAAGAGGCGAATGTCAAGGTTGCGACGCGCGCGTCCAGTACTACCATCGAGGCGGAGATGCTTGAACTCTGTTCCATGGTTGCTAATCATGGACAAGAGATCTTCGCAACAGTCCAATGTGTGGGTAAACCCGGAGAAGATGAGTACTTTCTTGCCTTGCTCAAGAACAGTGTGCTTCAGGAGCTTGTCAAGTAGTATGAACTTGCCAGACGCACGAATGATGTGCTCGCCGAGATAGTAGGGGTCTGGAGACACGCCAGGCAAGAGGTATGGGTGAGAGCAACACTTGCGTAGCTGCATGACTAGGTTCATCAACTTCTGCCACGCAGATTTGTTGGTGACTGTGTTAGTTTCCTGCTCCTTCTTCAGAGCTTGACGCATGATCTGCGCCGTCTCTTCCCACTCGCCCTGGTCACCGATGGTATCAGGTCTAGTCTCCAGTTGCTGCATTCTCTCCAGCAGAACGTCGTCTTGCTTGTCCTGTTCGATGGTGGCCTTCTCCTTCTCTTTGCCGTTCGCAAACAGATCGTTGAGCATGCCTTGACCGACGCGAGTCAGAAGTCGGGTGTACCAAAACCTCTGCATGGGGGTCAAAGGAACGTAGAGCAGGATCTCTTCCTTTGGTGGCAAGCCCAGATTGACATTCGGGCTATCCTTCATGCGACGCAGCATGACGAGCTCGAGCAGATGGCGCGCATCGTCCATTGTCTTCTTATTGACCTTGCCTCGAGTTAGATCAAAAGAGTCCCTGAACAGGTCCTGAGTATTCTCCGTGAAGACGTCAGGATAAAGCCAAGCTAGTAGAGCCCACATCTCAAGCAGATTGTTCTGAAGCGGCGTGCCTGTCAGAATCATGCGGTACTCTGAATTGACATTCCGCAGCGATGTCGAGATATTGGTTGTATTGCTTTTGATCTTGTGGCCTTCATCGAGTACGACGTATCGCCACAGGAACGAATGCTTGAACCAACTGGCGTCGGCCTGAAATGTGTCGTACGTTGTGACAATGATCTTGTATGATGACCCTGAGTCTTCATATGCTGAACGCTTCAACCCAGCTTTGCGCGAAGCCTTCCGGCCCTTCAACAGCTCAGTCTCATGCCCTTGCATATCCTCCATACCAGTAGCGACACGTTTCAGGCGATCACGCTCGTTCTTTGTGCCGTGGATTCGAAGAACCTTCAGTTCCGGCACCCACTTCTGAGCCTCGGTGACCCATGAGTTCAGCACACTGAGCGGACAGACGACCAGGTATGGACGAAGCTCTTCTGAGGTGGCGCCCATCTTGCGGTCAAGCTCCTCAAGATACTGGAACAGGGATAAAGTCTGTAGCGTCTTCCCCAGCCCCATCTCGTCACCAAGAATGCCTGAGAAACCGTTGTTGTACAGGTGCACCATGTATGAGAGACCAGAAAGTTGGTAAGGCTTCATTGTCGCAGTGACGCCCTTCGGTTGCTCCTTGAGCTCTTTGTACTCGACGACCGGTCTGACGTTATGGCTTATGACAAGCTTACTGACGTAGTTGTTGGGAGGCAATAGGGGAAGGAAGTAGTCTTTGTTCGCAACGAGGAAGTTGTTCGCCTTTGCCTTGGATTTGCGAGCAATCTCGTCTCGAAGACGGGCGCGTGTGGTGTCAAGCTTGGGCGGCTGGGCGGCTTTGCGTCGTGGTGAAGGCGCATGTTTCTGTACTGGCACAGTGTCGGACTCAAGAACTCTTGTGTGTCGACCGCTTCGACGCTTTGGCCCGTCGAGATCTCTCGTCTTCTTCCTCGCCTCCATCTTGAGGTCGCTGTATTTATCGTTGCTCCGGAGATTCTTCTTGTAGCCCCGGGCGCGGAGCGGCGGCTGTGCAAGCTCGTCTTCGGAGTCGCCGGATGAGGGGTCTGAAAGGGAAGAGCTGTTGTCTTTCGGGGAGGCTTTGCGAGTGGCCGGCTTCTTCGCGGTTGGCTTTTTGGGCGACTCAGGAGTGCCGGTCGTGGAAGAACGCGGATGAGCGTAGTTGGGTGTTTGCTGATGTCGCAGCTTTCGTTTGCTCTCCGGGATGCTCGGAGCAAGGAATGCCTCCTGCTTCGGTGTAGCTTGAGTAGGAACTCTGCGTGTCTTAGTGACCGACTCAGCAGAATTCTGGGAACCAAATTGCGCAAGTAGGTTCTCAAGGTGACCACCTCGGCGCTGGGGGGTGGAGGGCAAGGGATTGCCTAGCAGACGGCGCGAAGGGTCCGTCATGATGTCAGTCGTGGCAGCCTCTTTGCTACTTTAAAGGCCCGTGAAGGAAACAGTAAAGGTGGCTGCAAGTTCGAAGCAGCGTCACCGGGGCAGCATGATATATGAGGAACCAGCCCAGGAACCAGATTGAGGGCGATGATGGAGAACTACGGACAATGCGCAATTGTCCTACTACATGCGCCGGAGTGCGAATGCTCCCAAAAAGCGGTGATGGTGAGATGAGGACGTTTTCTAGCCTTCACTAGGCTTGCGACGGCGAGACACGAGGGACGCGCCTGCCAGATATTAGTCGCGTTCTGGCGCTACGGACATAAAATGACGCTAATTTGACAACGCCGAGGGAAGGCGCGACCAGCAAGGGTTCCATCACCTGCGACAAAGCCCACTGCGCTCTCGACAAACCCCGCGCAGTGCTTGCGCAGTCGCTGTCTGCCATGTCGCAGCCCTTGACGTCTTTCTACCCCATCTTCGCCTCCAAGTCCGACGGCCACGATATTGTCAACCAGAAGGGTTCGGTGGTGAGGAATGGGCCCTCGCAAGAACAGCTCGACCGGTCGCCGAACGCTCAAGGGCAATGTGACTACTACCGCCTGATTGAGAAGGACGATCCCAAGCATACCGATTGGAGAAAGAAGCTGGGTGGCATGCTGCTGCGTGAAATCGGAGGCAAGCGGTACGAAGGTGAGAAGCAAGCACCGCGATCATATGGCGGTGACTGACAGACGCAGATAAGTGGCAGCAGTGCATATTATGGGAGTTTCCCGAGAACTACAAGCTCTATGAACATATCAAGACCAAGGCAGATGGCCAGGCGAAGACAAGCAAGAACCACTCTGGTGGTGGACATGACCGACAAGATGCATACCTCTACGGCTACCCTAAGGGCCCACGGAAGCGCTTCAGGAGCCCTGTCGAGTTCTTCCCACACTTGCTCTGGCTATGCACCGACGAGACGAGCGATATGCAGAATTGCACCTGCAAGATGTGCTCGCCTGTGCAGCTCGAGGTCGAGAAACCTGCGGTGAAGGTGGAGCTGAAGCCTGAGATCAAGAGGGAGATCGGCGCACCGCAATCGATTGGACGCAATCCTGTGGTACAGATTCCTGCTCGCCGTGTCTCTAATCCGCCGCCCGTTCACAGCCCCGCCACGAAGCCGGCCACACCTGTCGCTGCAGCCGTTTCGTCTCAGATCAGGGCGCCCACTCCATTGCAGCCTACCCCGCTCCCAGACCCTCGCTCGATCGACCAGCAAGTTGACAGTCTCCCCCAGAAGTTCCTAAGTCGGCCGGGCGAAGTCGTCTGGTACTTCAGGCCAAAGACAGGAGCATGGGGTCTAGGTGTAGTCCTTCGAAGATGGCTAGACAAGGCTCCAGGAGGTAAATCCTACTTTATTCAGCCTCTTTGGCACCCACACGACTCCTTGACCCCGGAACTCGTGACGACAGAAACTCAGATGAAGCCCTGGCTCGCCTGGTCTGCGCCGAGTTACACCTACACCTACCTGCAGCAACACCCCACCATTCCCTTTGAGGATGTCGATTGGCAGGGTTTAGTTGCTGGCCGATACGGACCAGACGGCGTCGCAGGTGTTGATGCGTCTATCATGGCAGCCAAGGCCGTCGACACCACCTACACCCTTTTCGACTATCTCAAGAAGACTGTGAACGAGGGTGGTCAGGACGCACACTACAACGGCCTCTTCCTTGGGGCTGAGAAGATCTGGAGAGCTGACGCAGTGCGGCTGCGAATAGGTCGAGACACAGACGTCATGGTCGTCACTGACATCATCGAGCGGACCACGCCACAAGCGGCCACTGCTGTCTACGTTGTTGGCGATGTCTACAGCTACGCCACAGTCGCTGTTTCCAACCCTGCCCAGCTGCCCGAGCCACCCAAGAACTCTAGTCTCCCAACGCGCATGCGCGAGGACATGACGTGGCGAAACCAACTCCTCGTCCCTCACGCCCGCACATTCGCCTACTGGAAGCTCTCCACGCCTGGAGCGCGCTACGAGATCGCTGAGATCAAGGGTAGATGGTACGAGACCGCTCTCGTCTTCGAAGAGCCGTTCACCAAATCCGTCAAGAACAACGAGGGCGGCAATGGCGTGTGGATGAACTCGCGCGGCGACGCTACGCAGGTCGGTCGGACGCTGGGCGCAGCTGTGCCACAGCGATTGCAAGCGTTTGGACGGGCGGTGCCAGACGGCACGCAGCTCGTTGACGGAATCGATGCACCGGCGGAGCCGCAGGCACAGCCGCAAGATGTCAGCATGGCTATAGGTGGCCACACTGATGTATTCACAGATCTGATGGATTTCGATAATCTTGGCGACGGGTCTGAGCCGGGGTACGAGTTCAATTTTTAAGTTGTTGGTTTCGACACTTTGGGCTAGGGAGGTTTCTTGGAAGATGCATTTTACGGTTATGGCCTATCGTTAGCATGGGGAGGCGTTACTTGGATTTTCGGCGGCGCTAGCGGTCGATGCATATGGCGTAGTCACATGTTAGGACTACAAGTTGACTGGTCGAATCGCGAAAGATGGATGAATATACCCAAGAGCTCACGACGTGCAGCACAAACGTTTCATCAGCCACATATTCGCCTGGGCCCCTAGTGCGGTGGTCTTAGTCATTGAGCCAACTCCTAAGTCGAAACTCAAGTAGTTCGAAGGTCGTGACAGTGGATGCCCAGCCTCTGCCAATGCCTTGCCTCCCTCGTCGTCTCCAACAAGAGGTAATGACTTCATAAATGATACGGAAACACTTCTTCATCACATACGGCCATAGGACGTTGAAAACAAGGCTTCCCGTTCGCTCAGCCCTATTTAAGCAACGTACCGGTGGATTAGTAGTTAGGTGGGTGACCACTAGCGAATACCCGCTGCTGTATGTATTTTGCCTGTTTTTGGTACCGGACCTGTCATGGCATTTGTTTTGCTTGAGTCGCGGCGGGCATGTAATCGTAGCCTACTACACACATCGCGAGCGGTCAACATCTGTCGTTGTCGTCAGACTTGTGCTACCTACTACGTCGCGGGGAAAGCACTCACTCCTCTTTACGCAATGTCTTTCATCAGCTCCCGTCCTTGCGCGCTCCTCGCGCCATTGTCACCTCCAGAACCGTCCAAACCCATCACGGTCAGGCCCCACGGCTCCAGGTCGAGCTTGCTGAAGCAACTCACCAGCCGAACAGCCCACCCCCACCAGCTCCACCCCTGCGCCCACCTCTCCGTGCTTCTGTGAGCAGCCATTCGCGCAAGAAGTCCTTGTTCTTCATGTCCTCTGGCCTGACCAGTCGTGTGTCAAATTGCGCCTCTTGCCTACTAAACGCAAGCAACGTAGGCATGCTCGTGACACGATACATGATTGGCAGGTCGCCAATCAATGTGCTGTCCATCTCGACCTCCACAAAACCCAGCCCTCCTTCCTGCTCGCCGACTCGCTCTTCCTCGATGAGCTCCTTCACGAGAGGCTTGACGGCCTGACAGGTCTGGCACCAGCTTGCGCTCCAGAATGTGATGAGCGCGCGATTGTCAGCGGCATTGAGCATGGTCAGTGTGTGTAGGTCTTGCGGCTGGCGAACGTTGTCGAAGAGTCGGTTCGTGTGCGAGCGGCTGTTGGCGGAGGGAAAGAGGGAAAAGGCGCGTGCTTGGGGGATGGACAGGCGAAATGTGCACGCGACTTTGGAGAGTAGTTGCGCCATTGTGATATGGGTTCTCGACACAATTGAGAGTTGGGTTTCTGGCGTCGCAGCTCCAAGCTGCCGAGATGGACGCTACCAATGACGTCATTGCTTGCCAAATGGTACGTGTTCGTGCGCGTCTTCAAGTCTCCGTCAGGATTCCATTTGACAATGGAGACAGAGCATTGATTAATCACAGACGTGCAATTGGATCATTCCATTTACTACTTCATACGATGTCGATGAACGCCGAAATCAAAGCGCTTCCAAAAATGACAAGTTTCTCTTCTTTCGCCATGGCGATCCTGCCATCCTCGTATCTCCATCCTACCTACCTCGCTGAGGAACGCAATCTTCCAGCTTCGTTGCAGTCTGATTCTTTTATGAAGAACCTCAAGACCTGGTTCGTCGTGGCTTCTTTTCATGCTCCCTTTATGTGCACCGGGTTGACCATGGCGCGTGAGTGAGAATTAAATGTAAGACCCACTCGGTGCAACTCTGGCAATCGAACGTCGACATCTTCCACCTCCCAGTCATTCTACGGGAAATCTTTACCATGACTCTTCTCATAAAAGATCCCCCACAAGCTCGTGAACTCAGGACTTGTGGCCTCAGACTGTGCGTCCTTAGACGGACGCGAAGATGTCTCGTTCGTTAGCTGTTTTTCATCTACAGGCTCATCTGCATCAGTACGAGTGTAGTCGAACTAATACTGTTGGCTGGGCCGTTCGGAACTCGAGAATCTGCTGCACTTCAAAATTGACCAGATGAGCTCCCAGTCAGCACCGCCGGCTAGCGCAGCTTGGGTCACCAGATCTGCTTCAGTGAAGAACATGTTGGACGGTCGGAAGCCTGGATTGAGCTTCATGCCGAATATCGAACTCCAGGCATTCACTATTGTCGCAGCAGAGACGGATCATGGCACATATGTGAAGCACCGATCAACCATGGCATGAACCGGATCACTCAGGATAATTAATCGGATCATACCGGATTCTCCGGATGCTCCGGACTAGTGTTTTGAGGGGATTTGAGGGTTAGCTAGTCTAGTCTGTAGTAGATTAGTTGCTATATAAGCTGACTGTCTTTGATAACAGCTTGACAGATCCATTTGATCACTTCTGTATCAAAATCAAGATCATTCAGCTTCCACAACTATCATGTAGTAGACCGCATGCCAGATGTCATCATGTTGCAATCCGAAAGCCCAATCAGTATGGTTAGGCCCATTATTGTCATCCAGCACTGTTTCTGCTCCGCTGTAGTATTCTCGGTGCAATTTCTTGCGCGAGCTGGAGTCATTCGTCCACGGCGCTGAATCAATGACGTGCGCATGTATAATGTCTCCAGTGCTTGGAAGCCTGTATAAGCATTGTATGCAAAGTTTCGACCGTGGTGTGAAGAAATTGCTGCTGCTAACCTCGAAAAGACTAGGGAATGCGGTTTCCTCAAGCGTCTGATCATCCATAGCATGCATCTGGCTCCCCACAGTGTCTCACTGGTTGATAGTTTGCGCAACTTGCGTAAACCTGCCCGTGATCCAGTCGTTTGACATTGACATAGTAGCCATGTTCTTTTTCAACGGATATAACACGCACGTAAGTAAGCACATGGGCTTTACGCGCCTGGAAGGTCGGTGTTGTCGTTGGTCTGAGCCGGACCAGACGCAACTTGCCCTTCAAGTGCAGCAGGTACTTGAACCGATATATTCAACGATGTCAAACTATCTCAACCTCGAGGTCCTCACCAAGCCCACTTGAGTTGCGACTGTCCAGCTCTTATTGACTGATTTCTTGTTTCTTGCTGATTTTCGCGGTGAACTTCGAGGGCCTCTCGTTGCGAAAGAAGAATATCGGCTGTGACACAAGCTCTATCACGGTGAATGGGTGAAGAGGTCCGATGTAGAAAGACAATGAACCATCAGCTGCATTCTTATCTTCTCTCTCGTTATCATTCGCAGGCACTTCGCTGACGTAGGTTATATCGTTAGTCTTAACACTTGTTCCCGTTACGAGCTCGATAAAATATTCTGCTCTCGGTCGAGAACTTGCAGTAGCCTTGTGTCGCAGCAAGGATCGAGGTGAGGGTGCATATCACGTGATCCGCATCTGGATATTGGACCGATCAGACACTGGCGATCCACCACGCCATGGTGAGCGGAATCGGGTACAGCTTGGAGCCGTGATTAGGGCTCCAATTAGGGTATAGCTGGATGAGTATTGGTGTATATATTCTGCTCATTCAGCACCGTAGATAGAACAAGGAACTTGATCACTTTCTTCACACTTGATCAACGATCAGAGACTGCTCAGCTTCCACACCTTGCGACAGACTACCATCTGTGCTGATCCCAGTGGCTCGCTACCCCGAGAGAAAGTACTTTCCTTTTCTTGTCCAGGGAATCTAGCTGACTCCAAGGTCGTTGATATAGCACGGGTGCAAGCGGAGTCGCATCAGTGCGTGTTTGACTATTCCCATTGACATTCGGCAAAGTTTATTCAACGCGTGTGGGCTCCGTATGGTCGTCCGTTGACTGTTGCATTGTGAATTTTGATGCTGACTGCTGGTGCACAGCTTCAGCTTGTCGGCCGGGGGCCATCTTGAAGCCTGCAGCGGCCTTGGACTCTATGAGATAGTATTTGTGCAGCAGTGACGCCTCTTTGACAGGAACACCGAAGATATCTTGGCGCCAGTACCATTGTGCAAAATGATGAACAGGCAAAGCGAGATATCATGGAAGGGTGAATGATTTCTAATTGAGCACAAGTCGGTGCAGTGTCTACTATAGCCTAACCGTAACGTCCTTTTGAGCCATCGCTCTCGGCATCAGTCAGGCGTCAGAGTTCCAGACATGGCTCAGGGCAGGACAACGGTCGCCCTGCCTCAACTGCTCTGGCACGGTTGCTGTTATTCATGGTCTTTGTCCGAATTGAAAGACGAGGACAAATCCCACGTGGCACGTATCGGAAGATACCGCGCCATATTTAGCTAGATAGCGGCTAGCTGACGTGGATGCAAGACTGATTGATGGCTCGCTGCGGTGACGCAAATACGTGCATGCCGTGTAATATATGCGGTGGCGTGATGTGGTGTGTGAAACAACAGCTCACTGGTTCGTGATGTTCATGTCCTCGAATATTGCTGAGGATATGTGGTTGTAACAGGGTAGAGCGCATGGTGGTTGTTGTAGTAAGGCTGAGCAAGAGAAGAGCATCCTTGATCGATGTAGTACATCGGACTTGTATCCATGCGCATGGTCCTGATAATATTGGCGGCGTCGACGCAAGACGAGGCGCTGTAGTAGGCAACAGGATCCGAAGCACAGTCATAGACTTGAGAGTATGGCCAAGGCTGGTTCTGGGGTTCGTCATATGAGTAGTCGTACTGGACGTTGTCTGCCTTCACCTCGGGAGCTTGCGGGGTGATTGGGGCGGTATGCATTGGATGATAGGAGGCTGGCGGTGTTCCCATACTCGATACCATCGATGTGGGACTCAAGGATTCGCAGCTACTCAAGGCCACCGGTCGTGATGAGGGAGTGCTGAGCAATGGTACAGAAGGTAAGTGTCGCGGCACTGAAACAGCTCTCGAGTGTTGAGGCAACGGTGAGCTTGAAGATAACACCATGCTACTGGTAATGCGTCGCTCAAGCACATTGCTCAGCGCTGGTGCTGACGACACTTGTTCGAATGACTTGTCGGCTGGACCGTCAAGTGCTGCCACAATGTCTGCATCAGAGACGCCACGTTCGAGGAGCAGTGAGCGCAGCTTTCTGTTCTCATCGAGTACCTTCCTGGCAGCACCCTGGATCTCCGTGGACGTCTCGATGCCGACTTGCTCGCAACCCCGCAACTTGGCTTCGAGTTCCTGCAAGTACTCTTTGCGGCGAGCACGAGAGCGTCCTGTATAAGGAATGTCAGTACGTCATTCTCGATCAGCTAACGGTGTAGTCTTGACTGAATGCGTCGATGATGGGCGCGACCATAGACGTCAGCTGAAGAAGGGGGGCAGCAGCCATACTTTGGCGCTTCAAGTATGGAGAAGGGATTCAACTTACGTTGGTTGTCTCTTATCCGGGCAAGATTTTGCGCCTTGTGCTGCGCATCGTTAGCAACTTGATCGTGATCAGACTGCGAAGGCTGAATCGCACCGATGCTTTCAGGTGGTCGCTCATATTGAAACAGACTATGAAAGGCTTGCAATAAAGGAATAACAGCAAGATTATAGATGCACGAGGGATTGATGGGGTTGTTGTGAATGACGGAGTGCATGATTGTAAACATGGCACATGTAGATCTTAAGATGGTCCGCAGGCAGGGTCACCTACACCTGGGCCACGCCAGTCTGTGCACTAGTAAAGGGTGCACATACATAGACGGCGGGAGTGTGCGAGGGTTGCAGTAGTCGGAGGTCTGAGCGGGTAAGGCCAGGATGTGCCGGTAGACCCCTCCTGCCAGGCTGCCAGGCTGCCAGGCGAATGTTTCGGAGGCCATCGCTTACCTTGGCGCATTAGAGAAAAGCCAAGCCCGATATGGAAAGAGCACCGCTGTCGCGTTAAGTAGCGTCTTGCACGTGAGCGCCTTCGGTAGCCGCTGCCGTTTCAGGTGTCGGTCTGAGCTTCGGAAATTGGAGAGACGAGAGTTTTCCAGCTGCGCAATGCTGCGCCTCAGCTGTGAACACCTCAACTCTTTCGTCTTTTCGACCCTCACCATCACGGTCGCTATCTAACCGCGGCGCTTGTGCGGAACAAAGAACAGTCGTCATCAATCGCCAAGCACCTCGATAGCTACAATGGCAATTTGGAAACGGTTGAAGGCGCCGTATACGGGACAATTCGACCCCACACATAGATTCGAAACATCTTGGATCCTCCCTCCTGGCGTCCTGTTTGGAATTCGCGCGCTGCTGTCACTATACGCATTCGTCACGTTGTTCACCATCTTTGGCTGGAACGGCACCCATGGCAGAGCAGAGGACTCGCAGCGATCGTTCTCGTACTTCACCCACCTGACGTATTGGGGTCTAGCTTTCTACTACGCATTCAGCGCCGCGCATACTGGCAGCTATTGGCTCACCGGGACACCGTTTCTTGCACGATGGCCGAAATGGCTCCAGGTAGCTCATAGCATATTCTACTCCACTGTCGTCATCTACCCGTGGATCGTTACAGGTAAGTTTGATGTAAACCCTTATGAGAGCACCTGGTCTAGATGGGAGTGATTTCTGCTTTAGAGGAGACATCTTTTCCAATCTCTCAACATCTACCTATCGAGCTTCTTGTTATGAGTGTGCAGCAAGACTGACATTTAGCAGCTGTTTACTGGGGTATCCTCGCCGCTGATGGATTCCCGACAACCTTCTCACTCTGGTCCAACACATCTCAACACGCGCTCAATTCAGCATACGCATTCTTCGAGATCTTTTTCCCACGAACTGAACCAATTCCTTTTCTCAGCCTCATCCCAGTCATCATTCTGCTTGCCTTGTATCTTGCTCTGGCTTACGTTACATTTTACACGCAAGGCTTTTACACCTACGGCTTTCTCGACCTGCGCAACAACTCTTCAGGTGTGGTGGCTGCCTACATCATTGGCATCCTTGTGGCAGCTATTGTCATTTTTCTTATCGTCAGGTATCTCATTTGGTTACGTGTCTGGGTGACAGAGAAAAAGATGGGCAAGACTGGGAAGTTCTCCAGTCGTGGTACCGTCAGAATAACAGACAAGGAGGCCGAAAAGGGGCTACCCATGCACGACGTTAGCGCGATGTAGTCTGTTCTGGACAATTCCCATCCTACAATGCTTACATCCATGTAGTTTTGTAATACGTATTTCAAGGCTGCGTCTGGCACTCCCTATCAGTGGCCCATGTTCTCCGATGCAACCCTTGCTCTTTCCAAATACCCATTCAAACGGCTCAAGGCTCGAGCTTCGAGCCTGCCAGCCTGCGAGCCACCATCTGAGGTCTAGGAGCTCCTAGCTGCACCTGTCGCGACCTTGTCCTAATCGGACTGGAGGCTTGCAGTCTTAGCTTTTCAGTTTGGGTCTCAGCAGCCGTCCAGTCACTGCGATCCCACTCACTTCACCTGCTGGCTTGCGCCGGGTGGTAGCTAAGGTCGGGACGCTGGGGAAGGCAGAGCCAGTCAAAGCATACCGAGAGGTGCTGGTCAATTGGCACAGAGAGTGACAGCACAGTTTATCTGCAGCCAGCAGCGAAAGTCCGGTGCAGAGCTATGGAGTGACCAGATCATGGCAATCTCTCTTGTACGTTCATTAATAATGGTAGATGCCTGTCGGATCAAGATCGCATGGTTCTCGTCTTGGAAAACACACTATCTGTAGCTTTCTTTTTGCAGGTGTCAGAAGCCAGATGGGTGCGCACTGTCACAGCGCTATCCGTAGACATAGCCTTGTACCCACCAACTATTGATGACACGTGAGCCACGCCCAGATCTGGCCAAGATTGAACAGACAGGATAGGAAAGCGCCGCGGCCAGGTCTGCAAGAGAAGGTCATTTCCAGCTTCTAGAAGAAGGCTAACGCTTCGCTAGTCGTAGCGTTGATAGCAGCCATCTGAAAGCCACACGATAAATCCCTCCCGTGGACCACGATCATTGGCTGGTAATAATCATTAAGCATCTAACAATGTCTCGACCGTTCACGGTATTTCCTGTCGCTCTCGTGTGCAAAAAACTCCACGTATGATAAAGCTGTTGGCGAAACCTCGTACCCCTTGATCGCGACAGCATCTGCGCTTCGAAGCCCGTCCGACACCAACGGAGGTCTGCCGCAGGGGAACCTATTGCGAACGCCGCTTTGAACACCGCCTAACATCGTATTTTGGGCGAGCAGGTGCGAATTATTCATGGCCAGTGAGAGGGTCTATGATTTGGGAATTAAGTAGCTAGTACAATGACTGAGCTGCGCGGTTCGCTCCATGCATTAACCTAGTCCTTCATTCCACATAAACTGACTGTCCTGTCTTGGTTTCTCACTACTGTTTGAAAGGTAATGTCAGTCGTATACGTGACAGCAGACAGGCGCCCCATTGATCGGTATGCAGCGTATTCCTCACTGCCACCGCTCTGTGAAACGTCTCTTCGGTCATCCTGATCGAAAACTTATGGGCTGTTGCTCGCGATAACTAACGACATGTAGACCTACACTTATACCAAAGAGAATTCCATACGTCGACCGGACGGACGTGAAGCATCATTACCTTGCTGTGCACCCGTTTCGACAGACCCGGATAACGGTGACTTCGCGGCGGCTCTCATAAACGTCGAAGCTTCTACTATGACATAGAAGTGTCTAACCCAGAGGCATAGTCTCTCGTTTCTTCAAATGGCCAAGTCTTACTTCACTCGTACGATCGTTGCATCGGCAGCTCTTTCAAACAATTCGTTCTGAGTGAATGTAGATCACCGCCAAGCTTGGTCCTGCATCTCTCAACAATGTTTAATCTCTGCATTTGACACCCATACCTCACAGCAATACGAGACAGGAACTCAGCAGCGGCATTGTTACGCGTGAAATGGCACGAACATCCTGGTGATGGCTTGCAGTAGTTTGACTTGTGGCATTCACCGTGCGTGTAGTATTCCCCATCGGCCTATTCATAGAGAAGATCATCGTAAACTAGGAAATCTTGTGGTCGTCGGGCGAATTTGGCGTCAACGGCAGTTGTATCGAAGAACTAGCTGTCTATTAAAACTTGCTTCTACAGACCGCAACACGAAAACGCGTTCACGCCCAAAACCATCTCTGCCCGAGGCAAAGACTGCCTACTCCGAACCCCGCGTTTTGCTAGTCAGTCAGCAGACATCGGACCCCAGTGACGAATACGATTCTTCGCCCATCGACCTTACCGATTCTGTCGGGCTGTCCCGCTTGGTGAACGACTCCAGTTTCAGACCAGGGAACGCATGTGAAGGGTGAGGCACGCGGAGATCCTCCGGTCGCAAATGAATGATGAGAGACCAGGGTCCCAAAGAACGTCACTGTTTCCCATGTATGTCACACCTGGAAGTTCCTACCAAGATTGAGGCTCAAGCCCTGTCAACACCAAGATGTGAGCACGTTGCTGCAACAGTCGCCTTGATGTAGGTAGTGAACGCCAGACATTACCTGCGCAAGTACTCGACACCGTCAACCTACCTCTTCTTGCGCACTAGCTCTAGCCTCCGAGCTTACAAACTCTGTTCGTACGCTCTGTCTACCCAATGATGGTTCGTCCCTGTTAACGCCACACGAACTGCGGTGATGCCTGCATAATGTTGCGTGTTGGCTCGCGCTAGACTCTCTCGATCTTCAAACGGCTGCATGGGACGGCTCGGGGCGTGGGGCCTTCACTGACTGAGAAGCGTTCGGTGGGCACCGGTGGGTTCGGCCTGCTCGCCGGGCGGTTGCGACGTGTATTGTACATTCACGTGCGATGTGCGATCTCGTGCCACGGTCTTCACGCCGTGCGCGCTTCGAGAGGCTGTCGATGTGAAAGGTGGCCTGCCGCAAGTAGGCGCAGCCGTTGGCAGGGCTCGCTGTAAAGGTCGAAGGCACACAGAGCAACAACTGTAAAAGGGCCGGCTCACGCCGTAGGGCAACGCCATATATCAGGCATATCTCAGAGTCCTGCTCATGAAGCAATCTTTCAATCGTGTGTGCCCAACCTGCAGGCACTTGCAGGCATCAACTGCCAGCCAGATCAGGCATTAGTTAGCCGAGGTGGTGCAAACTCAATCGAACAGCACCCTTGACCCCCGACTCGCCCTGACATATCGCAACGCGCGCCAATCTACACGCCCGCGTCCGCTCTCATCGATTCCCACAGTATCGGGGCAATCGAAATTTGACGATGATAGAGACCGTGCTCATTGTCCGCCATGCCGTACGTACCTGAGTCAGACCCCGCCCCGTTTCTCCTTCACCCTCGCGATCCACAAACCGCTCGAGGAACCCGGTCCGACATCCGCAACGTTCTTCTACATGTACTGCCTGTGCTTTGTCACTCTCCGCCTCCCAACACGTAGATTCGGAGATAAACAGTAGTCAAACTTAACGTTCTCCATCCCTTTATAATGACATGCTTTCTGACAGCGATGCCTTACTATAGTTTCGGTCGAACTGGAGCGTGGACTCCGCAACTGGGCAGTATACTGCTCTTCTAGTCAAGTCTCCGACCGGCATTCCGACAGATCCTCCGTTGACGTCGAAAGGCGTCCAACAGGCCAAAGAGCTTGCCGACTATCTTTGCACCATTGAGCCGCCAGTGGACGTCATCTACTCAAGCCCCTTTTATCGATGTCTACAGACTCTCAAGCCATTCACTGACACTTACTTTGGCTCTGGAAGGTCAAGCGGGAAAATCAGAATTGATCGAGGCATTGGGTACGGCGAAATCACCGACTTGTAGGAGTGCGCAGTCACTGACGTGCACCAGAGAATTCTTCGGTCGTGCAAATTTTGAGCACCCACATCCACCCAGTCTGCAGCTTCTGACGCCCCATTTCGACCATCTTGACCAAGACTATGTCTCAACGCACGTCCCATCCTCCAAGGGCGAGATGATAGTCGAATTGCACGAGCGTGTGCAAAGGGCTCTAGACCACATCATCACCACACTGGACAATGACCCAGCACAGCCTAAGACACTCTTGATTTGCAGTCATGCCGCCACAATCATAGCAGCTGGGCGAGTACTCACTGGCCAAATGCCAGACGACGCAGACACAGACGACTTCCAATGCTTTACTGCAGGACTGTCGAAGTTTGTTCGCAAGGCCGCTGATCCCAATAAAGGCGCAGTTGGCAACTGGGACTGCGTCCTTAACTCCGAGACATCGTTCTTATCAGGAGGTGCTGAGCGGGGCTGGTGAGTACAACATTTCTTTCTCTTCGTGTCGTGAAGCCTCATATGTACAGGGTGTTTCAGTATCACAGGAAAGGTTGGCCGAAGTCAGAACTGTCTTCCTCCGGCTGGGGCACAAACTCCTTTCTGCTGAGCGTTTCTTTATCACTTCCTGTCGATCGAATCAAACCACAGTTGCACGACCAATCAACAGGACTGACCACAGACTCGAATAGGAAATTCAACGGCGACGAAAGTTTCGTGGCATTTCCAGACGAGCAAACAGCCGCCTCGGAGTCGCCTAAGCTGTAAAGGGCATGACCTGTTCTGCACCGCGTATAGAACCACGAGGCATCACGATGCAGCGCTCCTCTCGGCAGTCAATTAATAGCATTAGACATTGGCATTTCATCTTGTTACTCCAATAATGGACACCCGGCCTTCGTGAACACCACCTCGCCATGTGATTTGTACATGGCGATCGCGATACGAGTTCTCGGCCTTGTATGTCGCACCTTCTTGTTGACCTCTCCACTAGCATTCATGCAAATAGATGACCATGTACCTACGTACCCGAAATAGTTGGAAAGGTGCCAATTGCGCGTGGCGTGACCGACCCTTCCACACTCATCGGCTTGCACTCCGGAAAGGTCTGTGTTCCACCCGCCTCCAGCACTAGCAACTCAAGTGCTCTCGTGTACGTTTCATATCTTCCTAACCTTGCTGTTCAGGCATCTGCAACTCGTGTGCCCGAACCGGTGCTCGCGCCGTGCTACCGGTTCCAAGGAACCGTCCCGTGTGCATACATATGTTCCGTTACCAGAGCAAGGCCGCAGCACGTTGTGGCGGGTTTCTCGACACGAATCTGAGTTTAGATTGAACGCGCGGTGAGCAAATCGACGGCGTCTGCGGCGGAGCCCGGATGCGAACGCGATCCTTTGGGTTGCCATCAAGACGGGCCGAAGAGCGCAAACGAGGTGGAATCTGGGGAAGTGGAGGGAAATCCGGAACGTCACATCCAGCGACCGATATGAGGAACATTTGTTGCGTCATCGGAGGTTCGTCCGATGGCATCGTCAGGGTTCCAGCCTGGCGCTGTTGCAACATCAATCGGAGAACGTTCATGGTGGGCAGGTATAGACGGGCGGTACCACGTAAAGCTCAAGACCGTAGGTGACAGAGTCATTGTGCCAAACAACTCTTCGAACAATGCGTCTGCGGTTGAAAGCATGGGTTACATAGCCGACTTGCGATTAGAATCGACAACTGCTCATCCCCTCATCCACACTTCGCAACAGTGGCTCAACACTGACCTTCCATCAACCCAAAGCCCGCCACAGAAAGACAACCCTCCCCAAGACAAACCCCCATCCCAACCTCCCAGCCCATTAGCCCCTAAATCACCCCCAAATGCCCCTCTACGAAATCCACCACTCTTGCCCGCTGACCACGAGCCAACAACACGCCCTCGCCACAGCTATAACAACGCTGCACTGCACAACCTTCTCCGCCCCCTCGGCCTTTGTGAACACAGCCTTCCACGGCCCCAGCCCAGCATCGCCCAGAATCTACGTCGGCGGCACCCCGCAGCGCACAAACTATATCCTGGGGCACTTGCGGCCGCGCCCCGACAACGCTGCGAAGCAGGCACACGTCGTTTCTGCGCTGACGCGGCTGTGGAATGAGCTCGCGCGCCCCGTGGACGGCGTGCTCGGACGGGTGGGTGAGGAGCTGGGGGCGGGGTGTACGCCGAAGCGCGGGGAGGGGAGGTTGGATGATGAGCGGGCGCTGCATAATGTGTTTTTGATGGAAGATATAGTCGCGGGGGCGGAGCAAGGGTTTGCGCTGCCGGTGGCAGGGAAAGATGGGGAGTGGGCGGAATCGAATATGCGTGAGTTTGAGCGCAGGGCGGGGGATGGGGATGAGAGTATGAGGGGGCTTGTGAGGGAGTACGAGGCGAAGCTGTAGAAGAGTTGTGGGTGTGGTGTGAATGAGAGTTAGGTTGGTATAGGATAGCACCTATGTGGTATATTGCGTAAAGCAAAAGATGATTGCGCCTGCTATGCTCCGGCTGACGTGTTTTACAACGGGACGTCCTCCATCATCTGCGTCGCACCCTCTCTTCCGACCGTGATGATGACGTCTCCTAGCGTCTTTGTCGAGAATCCAGCTTCCGAATACCTGAAGTAGTAGTCCCACTTCCTCTTGAAGATGTCCGCGCCCTCGTTGTCCAGTTCTCCAGCCTTCTCCTTGATCAGCTGCGGCTTTATCCTGCTGTCCCAGTTGTTCAGGAATTCTTCTCGCCACAGACGCAGCGCTTTCGAGTAATGTGGGCCGATGTTCTCGATGCTGTCTACCACAAGCGAGCCGCTGGATGCGCTCTGAATAGACGAGACGAGCTCAGAGACGGCCGGAAGGTGGCCGCCTGGGAAGATGTAGCGGCGGATAAAGTCGTCAGACTTCGCGTATGCTTCATAGCGACCGTCTGGCATCGTGATGCACTGGAAGCAAGCAATTCCACCCTCCTTTTTCAGCAGCTTGTCCACACACTGGAAGTATGTCTTGAGATATGCTTGGCCCACCGCTTCCAGCATCTCGATCGATACGATCTTGTCGAAAGCTCCTGTTTCCGGCACCTCTAAACTTCGGTAGTCGCAGAGCAACACTGTGATATTTTCTGACATGCCTGCCTCGCGGATTCGTTCCTCCGCCAATTCTTTCTGTTCGATCGACAGAGTCAAAGATGTAACTCTGCAGCCTGTCCGTTGCACAGCTCGCATGGCAAAGCTGCCCCACCCTGTGCCAATCTCCAGAACGTGATCTGTTCCTTTGATGTGTGTGTTGTCGATGAATCGGTCGAGTTTGCGCATCTGCGCATCGTAGAGGCTCTCGCCTGCTGACTCCAGATTAGATTTTGGTAGCCAGATGGGGCTCGAGTATGTCATGTCTGGGGAGAGAAACGCAGCGAACATCTCATTCGAAATGTCGTAGTGCGCCATGATATTCAGCTTGGCGTTCTTGAGGTTGTTGCTGCCTCGGACTAGGCCTGCCAGTCCTGAGGAGAATGCTGCCGTCAGATTTGAGCCATTCCCCAAGTGGTTGCGGTTCAAGATGAAGAGCTAGGATTGTCAACTTTTACTCTGCAGGTTTTCTGTAGAGGCGCTCACCTCGAAGAACTTGGTCAAATCTGGCGAACTGACTTCTCCAAGCATGTAGCTTTCAGCGAAACCCTTGAGACCATTAATTCTAGCCTTAGAAAGCTTGCGCAAAGGACGCGCATAGTTCTTTGCATACCATGTCGGCAAAAAGAGCCAATCGAACCCAAAACTTCTCATCGTGTACGTGCAGATACGCAACTGGTACTCCTTCCTTGTCCGCGCCAAACACGTTCTTCGCTTTGCTCTCTTCACCCTCGAACACCACAAGCCTTCCGATCTGTATGTTTTGCAATTGCGAAAGCGTGCCGTTCTTGCATAATGAAACTAGTGGTTGCCAGGCTTGAGATGTGAGTGCGCTGAGGATCGCGGATGCGGGCGCTGTCAGTGTGTCGAAGATCGCCATTGTGAGGTCAATTGAGCTTCTGGATGCCGAAAGAACTGAATAGGGAAGAATTGATGTGTATTGCGATCTTAAGAGCTACAACTAGACGTCGCAAGGGCTCGCTGTCGTGGTTGGAGAGCACAGAACTGAGACTCAAAAGAAAAAAGGGGACACGCCTACTGGACCATCCATTGCAACCGGCGCGCTTGTGCATTTGAGTAAATTCACGCCGTTGCAGCGGAAATCCGACAGCCGACGCGGTGCTGTTGATTGCGCCGGTGCGTCCAGAAGCGCGATGCTTGCGTCTGGTGCGCTGAATCGACAAGGTACTTGACCGTTTTGAGTGACCGATGACGTTGTGGATCGAGACCGCTGCATCGTGAGCGCTCCAATTCTTCGATCAGACTACAGTGCCCATAGTAGGTAAGCTGCACAGACTTCATCGCTTCATGGCAAGCACTTCTCGCGTTCCTTGGGATCCGAAGCGAGAATTCGTGAAAACACTTCACGCTGTTTGCCCTCTACCTCTCCAGAACTGCGTACCAGGGTCCGCTGAAGCCTCAGCTTGTGCCGGCTAGTGAGGGGCAGTCGAACTCTAAGGATCGGTCCAACACAGAACGCGTTTCAAGCACCACGGCTCTGACCGCAAATCTGCAGTCGCGATGCGGCATCTTGTCGAAGACGGCAAGGAGCTGTATCCTTGTATGTCAACGCGGCAGGGACCGAAAACGTTTAGTCCGTCTCCCACAAGGCTGTGTCAGATGCTGGGGGATACTGAACTCTGTAGAAGAACCCGCAAGATGCTGCTGTAGTGACGTTGGTGCATAGACAACATGAGCATGCTTCCCACCCCTTTCTGGACGTCACAACAATCACGACATGGTCCTGGCCGTATTCGTGGTGAGCGCGGTCTTCGATCCGTTTCCGCGGTCAGGTCCCAGCGATGGTCCGCATGTTTCTTAGCCGCGCATATGCGCTGATTGACATGCTATTGTTCCGCAGTTCAAGTCGCGGACATCATTGTGTAGAGAGGAAGTAAAGGCCCACAAGGCGTCGCCGGAGTTCATCGTCCATATGTAACCGCATCGTCATAATTGCACCCCTTCGGCAAGAACAACCGTGCCACCCCGCGGCGACGCGCTCAACGCGTCCGACGCGTAAACTTTAGCACCTCCAATCAACATCGCTGAGGCATCCAACAACAGCCAGCTCCACAAAACGCCGTCTAGAAGGTATAGTCTTGCAGTCGCAGTGCGCACGGAAACACAACACAACAGACCAAATACCACTCGCCAACAACCACTCACAGCAAGACAACCGCCGCGATGCTATCAATCCAGCCCAGCAGCCCCAAGAAACACACTCCCAACCTGCTCCCCGCGCGCATAAACCACAACGGTCGAATACCCACCACACCGCACCACTGGACGCCCACAACTGACGAGAAAGGTAAAGTATCCCCGCCACCACGGACCCAGAGCGCACCACAGTCCCTTACCGGATGCGAACGCTCAGCTCACAAGGCAAACCAGGTACGCGGCACGTCCACTTCCGCGGCCGCCACCTGCACGGCACCACCCTGCCGCTGCCTGCCACACACACGGGCGCCATCCTGCTCGTAACAGATAAACCCGCGCCTCCAGCACCCGCCAAGTGTCTAGACGAAGACGCAGACGCAGATGGAGATGGGGACATGGATGAAGTTCCCGAGGACGTCAAGATTGCAGAGCAGATCGGCGAGTTCGACGAGCTGGTCGTCTGGGGCCATGGGGGGACGGTGGATGAAGGCGACATGTATATCAGGGGCGTGAGGGAGTGGATTGGGTTCGCGGCGAGTATGCACTGTGACGATGAAGACGGGCAAGGGGAAGGAAAACTGCAGACGAACGGGGCGGAGGCGTCGTGACATGTGTTGGACGTCGAGGCTAGTGGGGATTGCAGGATACCCAAGAGTACAATGAATGAAGGTTGATCAAGCTCAAGATTAAGCTACGGATGGTGGATGCCGTCAGCCCTTGCGGATATCCTGCCATCCTTCAAGATACGTGTGGCACGCGCTCAGCACCGGGAGGAGCAGCATGGCTACGCTCAGCGTCTGCCCAAAGCCCCACACGTTCTCGCCTTCGTCTTGTAGACCACAAAAGCCCCGTCGATCATCCGGTTGCGCGAATTTCTGCGTCAGAACGAGGACAGCTGAGAGGATTGCGAGCAAAATTTGGACCACGAAGGCGATCAGCGGGTTGAGGAAGAGGAAGTAGATCAGCCGCAGGCCAAAGTGCGCCGGGAGGAGCATCAGATGGGGTGCGCACGAGGGTGCGGGGGTTTTCTGGTCAGTGAGATGGCGTACGAGGTGCACTATCGAGCCGCCGGAATCTGATGCAGCTTTGGATGCCGCGCTCTTGCGGTCAGGATCGTACAGGACGCACACGAGTGCCGTCGAGAAGCCAACGAGAATGAATAGCATAGGTACTAGGAGCGCGAGGCGCTGGGCTCGACTGCTCTCCCTGGTCGCAACACCCTCTCGTGAGGTAACCGTGGGCGACATACCGATTGCAGCGATCATGGATGCGAAGAGGCAGGTAGCGAAGAAGACAACAAGTGTGAGGCGGATTCTGGCGATGAGCTTATACTTACGGAAGTACTTGCGTAGGGTGATGAGTGCGGCAAGGTGCGACGATGAGGACAGGCCGCAGATGTAGAGCACGAGGACGAAGTGCGCGCCCTGGACTTCGAAGGAGTTTTGCACAACCTACGAAGGCATCGTCAGCGCAGGGCCATAAAGAGCAGGGAAGTAGCTTCCTACTTTGATCCAGGCGCTGAGCAGAACAGCATAGCCAGTCACCAGCTGCTGGTCTCCAAAGCCAATGACCAGTGGATCCAGAAATGGCCGCCACGCATACTCCTTCTTCCATTCGGTATCCAGGAGCCTCTCGCGTATATACGTGATCGGCGCGTGTAGCCGGAACTGGCCCTTGGAGTCGTAAGCGTTATCGAGTATCATGGCCAGGACCGAAGCAGCGGTCGTCATGGCGCTGGCTAGCACGAACGAAATCACGACCTACGGAATTGTCAGTACACGCTGATGCCGCGAGATTTAAGGCCACTCACGCCGACACCTGCGATGTCGGGCTCAGAGCCGTTGGCGCAGTCGCCGTCGTACCAGGCTTTGTTGTCGAAGATGACCTTGACATGTTAGCAGTGTCTGTGCAGGATTGAGGTTGGCCGCACCCATGGTGGCGCCATGCAAGGACGGACGGCAGCCAAGGAACGATATGGAAGACTGGGACGACTCTGAGCGTACGTGTGGCGTGTGTCCTGTGTCGGCCACGACCCATAGTTGTCTTGCTCCGATATGCCCCGAGCAGATGTGAGTGAGGTGTTGTTAGGGCGCGTGGAATGCTCGATGCAGGTTAGATCTGAAAATATGTCTAGCAATACTGTAGGTGTCAGTGTCGAAGACGGGGTTCGAGGGACGTGTTCCAGGTTCATGTGGAAGCAGTCATTGGGAGGGAAAGAGCTACCTTGCACCCCGGGTTGTGCGTAGATGATCTGGTCTCGTCAACGAATGGCATCGAAACCCGGAGCTTGACTCACCTGTGACGCCTCTTGGAGAGGGTGGAAAGCTTTCGGGACAAGTAGACGCCGGACGCCCATCCAGGGGCTTGAAAGATGCATCCCATGGTGTTCCTTGATTTAAAGGGGCTCAGGCCAGGTAGATTGTGGTCAATAGGTGTTGTCTGGGTGAAGCTGCGACAGCTCGCCATAGTCAGAAAAACAGATAAAACTATATATCTTTGGGGCCTCCATTACTACGTGCAGCGAAATGAATATCGCACAGCCTCAGGCCGAAAGACCATGTCTTCTGATCACGCGCCCATGGTCGAGGTGCAGGTCCTCACCATTACTGCCGTGTCATCAACGCCGCTTCTTAGCCGACACCAGGGTCCAAGACCAGGAACACGCGATACTCAGCTGGCTCTCCGATACAGGATGGCGTGAATGAGCCACAACGCAGAATGCAACCGGTCAGATCCATTGACCAATCCCGTGGGCTTGCTTGATTCTCAGCCTCGCAACGTCTGAAGCCTTCCCGGCTATGCGGTCGCACGACCGGTGAGACTGTAAATATACCCCTGAGCCGTAGCATGCCTCATGAACATGTGTTCGTGGGCGACTGCGAGAAGTATGCCTTCACTGGACTGGATGCGATAGTAAACGGACACACAGGGACAGAGACAGCCTCCACGCGCCACCTTCCGTCGCCTTCCAGACATGAAGCCACTTCCACATAGTCAAAAGGTGCAATGAAGCAGGGGAGGGGCATTGGTTTGCTTACTTGTTCCTGGATGGGGGGGCTTGTATTCTTGCTATTTTCGCTTGGAAGTGGCTCACGGGAGGCGCAGGCTGTCAGATTGTACGATATCGAGCATCCCGCTGATTCCAAGTGTGAAAACTATCCAGGAGCATGTCGGTCTCTCTCTCTGGTAGACGAGCAATTACACCCGGGGTCGCGATATGTTTAGACGGCACCCGAGACTTCGTTGGAGACAGGTTCGGTCCCGCAAATACCACGAGCTTCGCCAATGACTATGTAACCTGGCGTCAACACATGATGACCATTCAAGTTATCTTTATCTACCAACACACATGCTCTCACTCTTTCAACATGCATCTCCCAGCCCTGCCCTGCCCACCCCACCACGCCAGCTAGCTCCGAGCAATAGCTCAGGATACCGCGTGCCATCCATAGACATAACGCCGAGGCCCCGACAATGCCGATGCGACCCAGAACACAAAACTCAGACTCCGCGCTGTGCTCAAGCCAACAGTACAGCAGATTGGTATGAACAAGTAAGAAGATACAGGCTAGCGGGGCAGTTGATGGTCGCGAAGGCCGGGGATGATGTCTTCGTCGAGATAGAAAAGTGAGCATCTTGAGCTGACGACGGTGCGCCCGTCCAAAACGTCATCGTCTCCCTGTAAAGTTATATCGGACAGCCGACGAGTGACGTGAGAGGCCGAGTTATCCTAGTACATGTTTGGCGGCCCTGGGCGGCCCTGTTGCTGCTGCCGCGGACCAGGCCCTCCGAATCCGAACATCATGTTGGGGTCCTCACCACGCATGCCGGGAGGTCCGCCGTACCCTGGTGGTGGCGGGGGGAAGTAGCCTTGGGGTGGGCCGGGCATGCCATTGCCGCCGGGACCTCCAGGGAAGCCTGGTGGCATACCGCGCATGCTACCACCACCTAGCTGTGGTAGACCAAGCGGAGTATTTCCGGCGGAAAAGCTTGGTCCAACTGGACCCATTTGTTGCTGCGGATTGGGACCACCGAAGCCCGGTGGCTGACGCATCGGGCCTCCGAATCCTGGGGGAGGAGCGATGTTGGGTCGATCTTGAGGTGTTGGCGGCATTCCTGGCTGACCGCGACCACCCATGAAAGGCATATCGGGATGTTGCTGAGATGGAATGCCCATGTTTGTCATCTGACGAGGAACCTCACCAGCGGTGTTACGGCGTTGAAGGCCAAGTGCTGGGTCTTCGTGTCCTGGGAAGCCCATTGGTAGACGTTGATTCTTATTGCGCAAGTCCTGCTGTTGCTGCATGTTCAGCTGTTGGCGGAGCTCCTGCTCCCTGCGCTGGGCTTCTTGGCGCATCATGTCATTCTCATTGAACATGCGAGGATCTTCCATAAAACCAGGTGGTAGCCCAGGACGGCCCTTCTGCTGGGGCAGACTACGCTGCTCGTGCTGCATATTTTCGAACATGTTCATTGGCGGCCCACCTCGAGGCAGGCTCTGGTTCATCATGTGCGGAGGGGTGTTTCGCGGCTGCTGCATCAGTGTGAGCAAAAAGTCGCGCTCCCGTTGCTTCTGCCCATTGTCACGTTGTGAGTCCTCCCGTGCGCGACTGTTCAGAATTGCAGCAAGATTGGCATCTTGTGGGGTGGCGTTGCGTAGAGGAGGCTGCTGGAAAGGAGATTGGCCATCTTGGCGCCCAGACTCAGGTCGTGGAGGCGCGAATTGTTCTCCGTGTTGATTTTCCGGGGACATCGCATTGAACCGGGCATGATGGGATGGTCGTGATTCTGATGCGGCAGGACGAGGAGCCAAAATGTTCTGCAGGATGCTCTGCTGCTCCAAAGTACGATTTGGTGGAGGCCTATGATTCTGCAGCTCTGGCGGTGGTGACTGCTGGAAGTCTAACGAGATGCCACCTCCATGACCTCGGACGCCATTTGGTGGTGACGGCTGGGATGGAGGCGGTGCTTGAGGAGCGCCGACGTTGACCTGGCCTAGCATCTGCAGGATGCGCTGGAAGCCTTGTTGATCCTCATTGGCATGGGGAGCTGGCGATGGAGGAGCTGGCGGCGCTGCTGGACTTGATATCGCTGATTCTTCAGGCTTTGCGAACATGCTCATGAACTTGGACGCCTTTGCTGGCTTTGGCTTGGCCTTGATAGACTCATCCTGAGCAAGCTCCGCACCCTTGACGTTGCCCCAGTTGCCAAAGAGGATACCTTGTGTAGACTCCGCTGCTGTCGGCGTCTGCACTGGTGCTGTGAACATGGGCCCTGCAGCAATGCCGGTCGCAGTCGCAGGCTCAGCAGGGATGTCCTGCTTCTTTTCCTCAGTCGGTGTATCCTTGGCCCGCATCTGCTCTTTCCAGCGTTCAAAGTCCGCTTGTGTCTTCATCTGCGGCTCCTTCTTTTTCTCAATCTTTGTGTCCATCCATTCAGGGTCTTCTTCTCCCCTGTTGCCGCCTCGATCCCAATCGCGATCGCCGCGTTCGCGCTGCTCACGTTGCGGTGCCTGTGCTCGTTCGCGCCAACCGCCTTGTACATTACCGCCGAATTTAGACCCCTCCTCCTTTGTCTCATCTCGGCGGCCCCAGCGCTCGGTGCGCTCAGTACGGTCACGTTGGCCACGTCGTGGAGGAGCGTCGTCTTCCAAAGCACCCTCAGTCCTGTCTCGGGTGCGATCGTTGCGGTCGCTGCGGTCACCACGGTCGCCATTACGGTTGAAGCGCTCGAAGTCTTCCTGGCCCAAGCTCTTACGGCCCTTGACGCTCGTCCAGCCCTCGCCGTCCTCCCGTGCACCGCGCCGACCATTCGTGAGGCCCCTCTCTCGGTTGCGGTCTCGGTCACCATCACGGGACCAACGCTCGTTCTTGTCGCGGGGAAATCTGTCGCCTAGCTGATCGCCGTCGGTCGAGATGACGCCCGTGCGCTCCTGCTTGTCACCTGTGTTCTTCGCTGCGCGTGCTGCTGATGTGAAGTTAAGCTTCGGCGGACCGAGCACAGTTTCCTCGCCCGGTTCTACAAAGAGCGCGTTAATGGCAGCGACTAGGCCTGGGCCTTCAGACTTACGCATGCTCTGACGTCTCCCGAACTGACCCATGGGGTTGATGAGGGGACGGTCCGTGCGGTGCTCGGCAGTAGTTCCCTCTCCGTCTCGTGCGCCTCGAGTTCGGCGGGCTGTGCCGTTGTTGGCGGTGTGGTTGTTGCTGCTGTTGTTGTTTTGCTCGGCAGGCACGTCCATCCATTGCAGGATCGACGGTAACCCATCTGGCTTCTTCACCAGCGGCGATTGCCTCAGTCCTTCGAGCTGCTCTGGTGTGTACCTCATCCTCGCGGCCGGTGCTCAGTCCTGGGCGCAGGTAGAGGTGGGGCAGGCGGAAGTATGCAGGTTCTAGTATGGTCGTCCTTTTAGTTGGTAACGATGCGTGTGTATGTGACGTCGCAGCGATGGAAGGACAGCTGCCTCAAAGCAGAGCCTGTGTGAAGCGCTCGATGCGCGAAGAGGTGGCCAATTCCCGTCCTGCGACCCTTGCCCCCGTATAGCAATGTGGTGGGGGTGGTGTGCACAGAGGTAGCGTCGAGGTGTACGGTAGTGGGTGGTGGTCTGTTGGCAAGTAAGTCGTCGGTATGGTGATTGCGGTGAGCTCGTTGTCCAAGTGGGCGCAGCTCGAGTGGGATTGAACAGGGTGGAAGCACCCACCTCGAAACACCCCTGCACTGAGGCGTCGATGAAAAGCGGAGAAGCACTTGCGCTTTCGCTCTGCAGCACCGCGTGCAATTGGCTGGATTTTAGGATATGTTGATATTTGTTTGTGGCGCCTGGTGTAGCGGAGGGAGTACGAATAAAAGCGACTGTTTCGTGTCATGAGTTTCGCATTGGCTGCAGACTGGCGATGGAGACGCACGCTGTCAAAGGCCGCACTAACAGAGGCCTTGGCACCGTCATTGCAGCCTGAGGCCGAGAGAGCATCTTCACTTCAACGTCTGGTCGTGACTTCCAGGCTCTTTGCTAAACGCGCTCATTGAACTGCGATGATGCTAAATTTGCGCCTGCAATGCTTCCAACTCCAACTCTGCATGCACCACACCCATCTCCCTGCTCAAGCACCTACTTCGACAACACCGACAATAGCCCCGTCAATAGTCCCATTGCTCCACTCACTCACCCTCCCTCGGTCACACGTTTCTTGCAATCTCTGCGCCAGTACCTTCAACATCTTCTGCCTGGGATCCTGGTTGCTCAGGCACATCTGGATCCAGCTGACCATTCCACACCTCGTAACCAGCGTCGTACTACCGCCAACCGCCGTCGCCCTCAATAATAGCCTGACAATCTTCTCCTTGCAGCTCGCGTTGCAGCTCCGACTCGCGTAGAATGATAGAAGCTGTTCGAATATATTCGACTTGCGGAAGGCTTCCATATCTCTGCTTGTCCTGAGGCCGTCGATGAGATACTCGAGAAACCAATCGACTTCCTTGTGATAGCTTGCATCTTCGTCGGGTTCGGAGGCAACGATACTCCTGTACAGCTTGCGCAATAGGAAGTCGACTTCCCAGTTTGGCGCAGCAGTTAGGAACTTGTTGATCTTGCTGAACATGACATGCGTGGGATCGGCAAGAATCTTGACGCTGCGGGCTGCGAATACGCCGGCGACGTAAGGAAATGGCGTGGCACCGGTGGGGTCGAGAGATTCGAGGGTTTCACCGAGAAGAAGGTAGACGGCGCCCAGGTCCTGGGTGAGTGCGTCAGGCTGCTTTGTGTTAGCTATCAAATTAGGCGAGAGGGCGGAGAGGAGACTTACGCCGATGGTTGCCATCAGCTGGCGAACGTTGTTGATGGCTTGGATGCGAATTTCTTGATGCTTCGAGCAGAGGCAGAGAAGCAGCTCGCCGATGTCGCCATCTTCGATGGCTTCGTCGGTTTCCTTCTTGCGCCAGCGGGTGAGTCCAGTATGCTTCTCGTCCTCTTGGGGTGGGAGCTCCAGGTCGACTGCTGCAACTGTTCTGACAGGGGGTGCCATCTTGGGCTGCGGAACAGGTGATGCACTGGAGCGCTCTGATCCACTGAAGTCAGCACCAGTTGCCAGCTTCAGCGCTTCCTTTGCGCGAGCTTTGTACATCTTCCACAAGAAAGCATCTTTCAGGACCTCCTTGTATGCCTTGCCGGCGGAGTCGATCAGGCTGTCGCGGACCAGGGCCAGCATAGTCTCGTCCTCGCCTATGAGGTTGAACAGGTACAGCAACTTCGATAACCAGCCAGCAAGAGCCTCTGCAGCAGGTCCTGTCGCCGACTCGCTGCCCTTGAATGGCCACTGCTCTACAAGGGTCATCAGCAATGGGCTGAAGGGTCCGATATCAGCCTGGGCAAGCGATGCCTTTGCGCACATTGCGTCAAGGTCGTCAAAGTATTTGATTGGCACCTTGATGAATCGCGCACAGCAGTCTTCAAGAAAGTCGAGCACTTCCACTGACGGTATCGAGCCAGCAGAGGGCTCGATACTGGCAATCAGTGCGTCTAGAGCATCAGGCGAGGTCTTTGTTTGCAACATCTCCTGATCCTGCAAGACTGCGTCAAGCAGCGATTTGACACCGGTGTATAGCTCATTATCTTTGGAAGTGATCAGGAGCTTGAGCAGTGTGATGAAGGGTGAGTGTTGCAGGGTCTTCGGCTTCTGCCACCAGCGCATCGCGGGCGAGTGACGTGCCATCTGGATCCAATGCTCCAGCTCCATGACGCGGAACGCTGTGTCTTCTGGTGAGCCTGTGGACTTCTCAACCTCGACCAAGGCATTGCATAGCGGCAATGAAACGTCGAATTTCTCCTGCAGCGCTGCTTGAGGCGTGACTTCGTAGTACAACCTCAGTAACCTGGTGATTGACTCCCGCTTCAAACTTTGCAGCCCAGGCTTCTTCAGCGCCAAGAAAACAGTCCTTATCGTCGGACAGCGACGGCTAACTTCGGCAACAAGATGCTGTGATGCTTGCGCCCATTGCTTTGAAGACTTCACGGTGGCCGCCTCGTGCAGCGCCTGTACCATACTTCGCAGCTTCTGCAGCGCGACGATTAGAACGCGGATAGCAAACATCTGTACCAGATCCGAGCTGTGATTCAAGCACTTGGTCAGCACCTGCTGGTTGAGCGGTTGTGGCAAGACACTCTGGATCATAGCTGCTACTGGGGGCGGCTGATTGCGATAGCTCTTCTTCACGCCAAAGAACTTCGGAATCGGTAGCTGAATGGTCTGGAACAGGAAAGCTGAGTATCCGATCCATGTGGATGTCAAGTTGGGGTCGTAGTTGAAATCCCTTCGCTTGATGAAGTAGTCCGCAACAAGTTCTGGTGAAGCCTTGAAGATCTCGATGACCAACTTCTGATGTGATGTATTTGCGTACGGGCGTTGACTTTGTATGAACTCTGACAAGATGATGTTGCGCACCCGGCCCAATCTGTCGAAGGTCTCGGTTGACTCGAGTCCAAGATCGTTTCCGTTGTCAGCAGCGTCGTCGAGATCGCCTTCTTCTTCGTCATGAGCCGATGGGTAGAAACCGTTTGTTGGCAACATAACACCATACCCGGGGTCTGTGCACACCATGCACAAGAAATCATGGGCCAGGACCTCTGGTGCCTTTTGCCCGTCTGTCAGCGAGCCCTCCTCTAGATCGTAGTTGTAAAGACCGGCGATGCGCGACAGTGTCTTGCCGTTTAAGATGCGGCTCTTGGTCTGGCGGGGAATGGTCTTGTCCTGGAACACGTGGCTGGTGAAGACATCGAAGATCTCGAAGATGAGGAACGGTGGATCGGTACTAAGATGGTCGAACACGGCTCGGGTGATGTTGGTGTTTGAGAGGATCTCGACTTTGGCGCGCTCATCTTGAAGCCTCAGATGTGTGAGCAGGTAGCGAATGGCTGTTGTCCTGACGCTCGGCTTCTTGTGCATGTCCGCAACTGACATGCCCTTGTGCTCCTTCCATAGCGCAATGTTCCTTCCCAGTATCCTCGGCTCCAGTGTGAAGTCCTTCTTCGAGTAGACAGCACGTGCATGCGCGCCGTCGTTGAACTTCGTAAGCTCGGTGAGCAGCCTGAGAGCCGGTGAGATGACATTCTCCTTGTTCGAAGCAGCGGAAGTGCTGCGTACGAGACGACGAGCGACTGAAGGCTGGAGAATTGTCTTTGCGAGGAGGGTACCGAATTCTGTCAAGTCGGCGTGGCTAGACAAGACCTTGAAGAGGAGCGCAAACACAGCGGTGACCTGGGCGAGAATCGCGTCAAAATTGGTCTCGGCCGCCCAGTCCCAAGCTTGGATCAAGTTCGACAGCAGCGTCTCGTGCTTGTCGTCTTGACTCTTGCCTTTCTGTGTGTTGAGGTATTCGCTGAGGATAGCTCGTCGGCGGGGCACGTCAAGGCCGTCGGTCGAGTATAAGATCGAGTCGAGGAATCGCTTGAACAAACTCAGACCTAGCGCACGTCAGTCGCCAGCACTTTCGGTAGGCGTTGTATGGCGCATACCGCTGCGAAAGTCTGCCGTCGCATTTTGGTCGAAGTACAGGGCCTTCTGCAAGTCGCGCCCGCTGTGTACATCCTCCGCGCCTGCACCGTTCGGCCTGGGAGAGTTTCGCTCGTGTCCACCCTCAATCCGTTGGCGTTTACTGGCATGCGCACCGCTCGGATCACCCTCAAAATTCGTCCGCTTTCCCATGACGTTCAGGTTCTGTGGTTGATGCGCCGGCGGCTCGCATGAGCTCGAACTTTTCGAAAGCTCGAGCAGGGGTCATTTGGGCTAATATGTTTTCGGTTAGCCCCGCTGAGCTTAAATTGCGGGGCCTCGCATCGTTTCCAGGAAGACAACGGATGGACGAGCACTGGGACTGTGATGTGCGCAACACAATATGCCGTACTGTGAATTGATGCACCAATCTACGAGGCAACGCCTATATTATGCAGAGTCTATACTGATTCACGGCACATACAACCTAGAGTATGCCACAACCTTCGTCCTGCAACACACGCAGGCAGTGTAGTTCTTGCCTGCCAGCCCTACACGACATTCGTCACACAGCGAAAGACACCCGCACGGCCATACAAGCACCGTTCTTGGCGTGAGCTGACAGACCACGCACTGCGGTCCTTCAGACCCCATGCCCTCAGCTCCTGTGCCCCAGCTGCCTGCTGCACTCGAGCCCTCAGGTGCAGTAGCTTGCCTTTTGTTGAGGATGAGGTCCTCCAGCAGTTGCTCTTCCTCTTCCGGCGTCATTCCCATCGACGTTTCGAAGCGGTAGCGCGATGTTGTGAGGATCTTTGCCTGGTCTTGATCGAGAGCTTTGCGGTAGCGAGACCGTGTCATTATTTGTGGACTTTGAAGGTGTCGTGACAACAGCTTTGCTTCTTCCCTGTCTTCCCTGGTCTTGGGATCGAGGAGTGTGGAGAGACGCGAGAGGTCCATGGCATTCTCCACCGGTGTTGCTTCTCGGTCAAGCTGGTAGGTGTCCCGGGTCGGCGTTCGTTGACCGTCATCCTCTTCGTCCGACCATTCTTCGTCATCAGTTGTAGCGTACGAGACCAAGCTCGTAGTGTCATCGTCTGGTGGAGGAACGTAGTCGCTGCTGCCATCCACATCACCAAAGCGACCTCCGTTGCGCCACCATGAATACATGTAGTCGTCAACACGCTCATCAGTATCTGCGGAGCTTGGTGCATCCAGGAAGCCAATTTGTCGGAGCCTGTCCTTCGCAAAGGCCTCAGCGTCGAATTGGCTGTCGAGACGTACGCGTGACCGGTCATCCAATGTCAGCCATGCGTCCACAGAGGCGGCGCGGCGCTGTCGGTCGCCATATGTCCTAGACGGAAAGCGCGGCTCCTTAATCGGACGAGGGCCAGCAAGACGCCTCAACCACCTTGGACGGTACCCCACCCTCATTCTTTGCAGCATCGCGATTATTAGCCGGGCGTGGATGAGCATGAGGAGCCGTCCGATGCCCTTGAAGAACTGCCAGGTCAAGAAGAACCGTCCTCTTCGCTGCTGAAGTCCAGCGAGATCGCCTTGCGCTCCGGCATTGACAGCTCCGGGTGCAGTAGTCATGGTTCGTGTCTTGCGCTCGCGAGCATACCCAGACATCGCGGCCTCGTCTACAGTCGACTTGTCTTCGATACTCACACCCGGAGCGAGGGTCTCTCCTCGTAGCTCATCCGGGACGTTCGTCAGGGTTTGTCTAAACTGCCGTCGGCGATCTAGAACTTCCTTAAGCCTCTTCTTCTCAAGGAACGTCATTGAATGGACGTTGATTCTGATGCCTTCATTGAGAAAGACAGCCTCGCTCGCCGCAGTGAGAACAGTGAACCCCACCTTAAGTATTGCGGTGTAAAAATCCTCATGCCAGCTGATCGTGATTGGCGCCGTCGACGACAAATGAAAGTTGGCATGCAGGTTGTTGTAGGCGACTTCGAAGCGCTCCTTCCATGTCATCGTCTGCGGCTGACCAGCTGGAGGAGCCAAGACAGTGATGAGAAAAGCTAGAGTGTAGATGAACCCGCAGGTGACGATGCCGACCATGATCAAGACATGAGGGATGAATTCAACGATGCAGACGGTAGGGAATCGCAGCAAGCCAACGGGGTTTTCGGATTCCGCGTTAGCCTCTGCCAGTCGCAGAAAGCTCCAAACAAATGTTGCCATGTAGCCAAGGCCCCAAACAGCCGTCGTGATCAGACGGTATCTCGAGCGCACTCCAGCAATGGCCAAGAGGTTGCTAGTGAAGTAACTGATGCTAGAAATTAGAGAGATGAGAAGGACTTCCGGCGGTACGTTGGCAATGCTATTCAAGCCATGACGGGGTACTGAGACCGTCGTTCCATTGGGGACCAAGACGTTCTTGGGTTGGTTAAATCGTGTAGAGTTGATGGTCAAAGGTTTTGTGACGACAGCCTCAGCTTCAGCAAAAGCCAGCGAGTGCTCAAAGATGGTCATGCCAACTTCTTGAACAGGAGGCCGACCCTGGAGAGCGCAGACCATTGTCTCGACGAACTGGCCAAAGCCCAGAGACAAGAAGAGGGGCCAAAGGAGAGCGAGCGAGCCATTCTCACGCGTCGTGTCTGCAGCGCCAGGCAACATGCCAACGAGTGCGCATGACTTGGATGCGTTCTCCCAGAAGAGTAGCTTGGAGGAAGCGCGGTATAGGTAGCCTCTTTCTCCACTGAAATCCGTGCTAAGGTACCTTCCCGGTGTTCCGTATTGCATCTCCGACCATGCTGGAGAGGTCTGGCATCGTATAGCTCGGACCATGTTGAGGATCTGAAGGGCGAACAGCATCAAGGGCGCAATGTAGAGAGCCAGGCGTATGTACAGGCGGTCGAAGGAGAGTGGCACTCTGCTAGAGGCGTAGAATCGGGTGCGATTCAAGACGATCGCCTAGAGATTTGGTGTCAGCTGTGCTTGTGGGTGCTACTGTACTACGGCACGTACGATAGCAAACGTCGCAATGGCCCATTTCGAGGTGATGTAGCTGAAGAAGCTGGCAACGTTCTTGAAGGCCTGAAACATGCTGATCTCGTCTGTTGATCCAGAAGATGCAGCAGCCGCCGCCGCCGCCGCTGCCGCAACGGACTGTTGAGCAAACCTGCCAGCAGCCGTCGCCGTGGTTCCGTTGGTGAGATTGGCCATGGTAGGCTCGGCAATGACGCTGCCACCAGAGCGCAGCATGTCGCCGAAGGAGCTGGCCTTGTCCAAAAGCCGCGGAAAGACCATGAGCAGGTCTGCCGGCGAGGGCAGGAAAGAAGTCATGTTTGTGAATACGCCTGAAGTCTGGTCCATTGCAGCCGGAGACCAGGCTCCAAGACGTGCCGTGCCGGAAGTTGCAGGGGGTAGTGCGGATGAGCGGTTCGGGGATGCTATCGGTTCGAGCGCATTGTGGTCGCCAGATCGGGGTCAATCATCTAAGAAGACCTGGTGGCGTGGAATATGTGTGATGTTTGGATCGTGTGAGTTGACGCTGAGAGGTCGCGGTCGCGTCATGCTTGTCCATGTGGAGGAGCGACCGCCGGACCAATGCCGCGGTCCCTCCTGCCCCACATCTATCGATGCTCAACATCGACGGACCTACACGGCCTGAGAGCAAGGGAAAACCGAAGCGACTGCACAAATTCGCCCCAGCCAACAAGACTCCAGCGCGATCACAGTAGGATTCGTATCTTCGCAGAACGCAACCAGGAGCAGGAACTCGAAAGGCAAGGCTTCAATATTGCGAATGTAGTGCAACAATCAATCGCCTTGTACCTTTCCAAATTTGTGTTCAAGGGAAGCACAAGTCCTCATCTTCTGATGAAGCTGAGCTGTTGGAATGTGGCGGACCGCTGCTTTCCGCCATCATTTCTTGTCGGGGACACAACACTCGCAAACACTAGAGCTGGATGTGAAAGCGCAATGGTCACCTCCGGCAAAGATTGCAACTCTTTGTAAACATGCACACTCAGCAGGAGCAGGAACAGCGTTACAAGCTTGGCTAGGCCATCAGTTTGAGTTCTTTGTTCGACGCGGTCGTGCTTGAGCCGCACGCCTGGATGATTGAGCAACGCCTATCGTTACTGGTCAGTCTTATATCAACATTCATCCCTTGCAGCGCCTCCTCTTGGCATGAATGAGTTTCGTACCTTTAAGTATCCAGCAGACCCTTCTAAAACTCTTCTCTACTCCTTTTTACTTGTTCGTTATCGTACCCGTCAGTCTTTGAGTCCTGACACTGTCATTACTGACCACAACCCAACACCACCAACATTTCGCTACTGCACCAAAAAAACCGTCTGTCTTCTTGTTTCTCTGCTCATTCCTCTTGTTGTACTACTAATCCTAGATTCTCTCCCTCCCTCACACATTTGGTTCTCGTCAACCACCGCAACGATGAAAGCATTCGGCTATCTGATAGCCAGCGCGGTACTGCTGACCGGGGCAGTGGCGCAGTTGAAGTCACCTGCTCCAAACACCTCCCTCGGTAACGGTTGGAGATACAAGGGCTGTTACTCGTACGCGTCTCTCAATGCCTGTTCTATCACACTTGCTCATACACACTAGCGACACTTTATCGACCTCTACCATTCTTCCCCACGCTCTCAATGGTTCCTTGACTCACATAAACCCCAACGGCGGTGCGTTATGCACACAAACCTGTAGAGGTCAGGGCTTTAAATACGCTGGAACCAACGACAACCAGTGTTGTACGTACACTCTCACTCAATCTCTGCATGTACTTGTTGCTGACGACAATGTAGGGTGCGGCAACGTCATCAACCCGAGCAACTCCGTGACCGCGGGTATTCTGTCTCCGCTCGGCGACATCGCCTGCCAGACCAGCTGCCGAGGAAACCTACCCGAAGCCTGTGGCGCCATTGACACGTTCATCTCCATCTACGAATACACTGTAAGTGGATTTCCGAGAATTGCCTGTGTGCCTATATCCCTGTTGGTCTGCGCTTTGTCCGTGATGTTTGTTTCTGGAGGAGGCGGGGAGCGACCGATCGAGCGCTCGGCGGGGGAGGGAACTGGTGGGGACCAGAATGGGTTGGCAATGGGAGAGGGAGGCTGGAGGGGCGTTGCTGGAAGGGCCCTTATGCTGGGACACTGGCTAGGCGAACCTACAGGCTCTATCTACCAAACGCTACACATTCAACAGAGCAATGGACTCAAACTTCACATTGCCCTGCGACAGATACTGCACATGCAATCGTACTCACCATGTACGATACATGAATTACGTACATCGTTGATTGCCTATTCGCCGGAGCCCGACCCCCGTTTGCTCCATGGCAAGGTGTCAGAATAGCTGGCCGACCCGGATGCTATCGATTTCATCCTTACCACGAGCATGAAGGGCTCGTTTGCCCTCTGCATATGTGTCCATGGAAACTACATGAACCCATTGAGCACCACTGCTCCCTCTTCTGCTCCAAACTCGGCTTACATCTGACTAGAACCAGCCACTCTGGAACATCATGTGATGCCGCCTTCAAACGGTTCAGCCAAGCCGCCAGGTCGTTCACTTCTTCTGGTCCAAACCGTGCTCTGGCCACGGCCATGTCTTCTGTCTGCTCCTCGATACTTTGAGTCTTTGTGTCTCCAAGACGTCAAAGCTATATGGTACACTATCATGGTGCGCTCCCCGTCCTCTGATAACAGTACACTAGGGCACCCATGGATTTGGATCGCGCTTGTTCCATACGGCACAGACTGCGTCATCATCATTCTTCCGTCCACTCTCCTACCAGGTTTTCTGTGCGTCTGCTCATCCCGAATTGGTCGAAAACATGTTGAGAAGCTTCGATGTCTTCACACTCGAAGCCATGAAGCACTGGTACTATGTCCTGTCTGGCTGTTTGAAAAGATTACATACCACGCGCCGCCTGTGTGGATGGAATTGCAAGTCTGTTAGTATGTGGATCGATCAGTTGTTTCATTGCAGCTATACAGATACTACTGCACTTCGCACCTGTGCTTATGTCACCACCTTCCTTCTGCGCATCCGAAACTCATCTCACGACGAAGGATATGCTTCTCTTCTCCAAATCCAAAGCCAACGGTTAGAATACTCTGCCCTCGTCCTTTCATCCTATTGCGGCCATGCACTTTAGCAGCTTCCCACACCCAAAAAGTCTCATAGATGTCACATGCCTTCAAAAGAACGGAAGAAGAACTCGTGCAATGTTCTTTTCATAGAAGCCACCGTCAACCGGTACTAGCACGCAGATCTCGATCTATCGGCTATAACTATTTCACGGACGCTCGAGCTCTTCTTTTCGCTCCTCTGACTACCCTCCCGAACCTCTTAATAGTCACGGGCCTACGAAATGTGTTCCTGTCGAAAGTTCCTTCTCAACAGTGAATGTTTGCTGTCCTTTTTTCCTCGCTGAAAAGGATCATTCAATGTTCACAACAGCGAGGACTCAATCATGGCGTCTGACTCTGGCCTTGACGTTACCTCAAATGTCTGATGTAATCTTGGCTCACAGCTCGCAAGCAAACAACTTCAAGACCAGCTGTGCGTCCTGTGTACTTTTCTTTCCCTCTATTTCTTTTTCGGTCTACCCAAATCGCTTTGGGACATCGATATGTGCCTAAGAGCTTCGAATTCAACAAGTATGCAGATAATGTGGTTTGTCGGCGCGTTGAAACTCAGACATGCTGCCTCTTTGCCGGTGAACCGCTCCAGTCAATTCTACGGGTCCCAGCGAGAACAAGAGTCTGACCTACTACATCGACATTTGAATTTCTCAAAATGCGGACAAAAGCAGCAGAATACCCGTCTGCTTCTGAGACTCCAAGCGCACGAATTAATGTCCGTCAGCTCTGTCTTTTCTTCTTGCAGAAATGTCTTGGTACGAAATTCATGCTTTAAGCATGACAGTGTGCAGCCCGATTAAAGGAAAAAAACCGCCTTTCTCATGCACTGTCGGAGGAACACATTCGCACAAGTCCCTTACGGTTCTGCACCAACGCTGCAAAGCTAAAAATGCATCTTTCATCGCATCTCTCTCACAGCTAAGCTTCCAAGAGCGAAATAGCAAACAAACATGTTCTTAGCCGAGTCTTTCTTTTGTCTCTCACAGTCTGAGATGAAAAGTCTGTATGTGCCAAAATCTCCTCCAAAAGATGTACCATTCTACAATGTCCTTCCCCCCCAACTGCCATTTCCTCGCGCAATGTAATTCCAAAGCTTCTTGGAAAGGATGATTGGCTGCAGGCTATGTGTGTGTATCTTAGCCCTGATGATTGTCTTCACCTGGGTTGATATGTTGGCAGAGTCGAAGCATTTCACCTAGGTTGATATGTTGGCAGGGTCGAAGCACTTCAACAGGGGTCGAGTGTGTTTCTACTGTAACTGCGTGAGCAGTTTCGGTCGGAGACTGTGATCAACAACTGTTTCTTGGTCGACCCTGTACCTGTCGATACTCGGCTATCAGCTGTAGCTCCCTTTCGGCAGTCGATGGGCAGAAGTGCTTCTTCAGCCTCTTCAAGCGAGCGTACGCAGTATTGTCGCTCTGAATCAGGTGTATATGGCGGCGGCTGATCGTTTGGCCAATCTCCTGGGTAAAGTCGTTCAACGCTTTCCTCTTGATTGTGTATCTAGCCAGTGCTCGATCGTAGTTCCTATCCGCCCGCTGGTATCGCTGGAACTCCTCAGTTGTCATGTCCTTGAGCACAACTCCAGTGTCCTCTTCTGTCTCCTCATGGTACTGTTCTGGCTCAACAGCTGCTGGCTCCTTGAGCTTCTCAAGGGCCGCGTCGTCGAGGTCTGGGTTCACCATAGACCACAGGTGATGCGTGTCCGCGCTATCCTTTCGCAGGAAGATCCATTCCTCCCAGTCCACAGGCTTATCAAGTATAACCGTCATCCTCGTAAGCAGTCCATCCAGCTCAGTAGTAGCCATCCTGAATTGGGCTCTCTTAGCTCTCAGATGTTGACTCTCGTACGGGACAGTGCGCTCGAGGCTCTTGGAAAAGTAGGGTACCTAGCGGGACGATGACGTAGCCCTGTTGACAGCAGTCAATAGCTCGTCGGCATGCAGTAGCGAATACAGCGTGTGTAGTCGACAGCTGGGCTCATAACTGTAACTGCGTGAGCAGTGTCGGTCGGAGACTGTGACTAGCGATTGTGTTGCTATCTTTTGTCGTGTTGTGTGTTGTTGTGTGTTGTGTGTTGTGTGTTGTGTGTTGTGTGTTGTGTGTTGTGTGTTGTGTGTTGTGTGTTGTTGTGTTACACAAGCTCTCAGCTCTCAGATAAGTGCACTTGCCCACCGGACAGTGCCTGCTACAATAGGATATCATGTGCTCTGAGCCACGTGGTTACGTCTACTGCTAGACATGCCCAACTACAAAGACGTCGGTAGTTTGAGCGTCACTTCTCTGCATTATTATGCATTCTTGACTGCGCTCGAAACCAGTATGCAACAGCTACGCGTCTGTCGGAACAGAGTCTCGGTATCTGCCTAGTCTCGGTATCTGCATAGTCTCGGTATCTGCATAGTCTCGGTATCTGCATAGTCTCGGTATCTGCATAGTCTCGGTATCTGCATAGTCTCGATTCTGCTTAGCCATGTAGGCACATCTACCAAGCGCTGTCGACCGATCAAAAAACTTCGGGACAAGGGTTGCATGCGCGCTTGCGCCTCCAGAACGTCTTCCGTCCAACCGAGTTGGCTGCCCGCAGACTGAATCGAGACTTTGATTCTCGAAAGCTCTCTGGAGCCGGGCCGTGTAGTTTCCGCGGAGAGTACAGATCGGCAGCTCGCATGTTTCGGGAAACGGAGACCATGCACGACCCGACCCGACCCGACACAACCCCATGCACCAACAGACAGAAAGCAAAGTGCAAATCATCTTCTCTCTTCTCTCTTCTCTCTTCTCTCTTCTCTCTTCTCTCTTCTCTCTTCTCTCTTCTCTCTTCTCTCTTCTCTCTTCTCTCTTCTCTCTTCTCTCT